TACTGATACCCAAACTTGTTCAAGTGAATTCGTATAGAACTGATTAACTTCGTGAGAGTTAAATAAGTCAGTTATGTAGATAGCTGCACCGCCACCTCGATGTCCGTCACAGCAATCTTTGCGATATAAATTATACCCATCGATGTTAGGAACTGAGTCACTTCGAAACCATGTTTCGGAGACAGCAATAACATGATAATCAAACGTTCTAGCTATTGCAATTAAATTGTTCATTTTGTTATCAAGGGATGTTGCATTAGTGTAGTAACAATTAACACTATAGTTTGTTTCCAGGTTATGTACGTCTTTACCCTTATATTTTATTTTCGTTGTTAGGAGTGTCAAGGGAGGATAGTGATTCTTAGGCTGTGGTTTGGAAATTTTTGAGCTTAACAACTCCGCTGCTTCGTATACCGTATCTAAAGGGCGATGTTTTTAGATTTATATTACTATTTAGTTCATTACACTTCATTCTTAGTTGGTAGTTTAGATATCACTCAGCCTCAGTTAGATCTGGGCTTATAAAGACATTTTTGTGGTCGTCTGAATTTTTTAATTTTTTTGCTGCTGAAAGTAATGGGTTTTTTTCAGAAACATCTGACATTTGACGATAATTGGTCCTGGTTTTGAGGCATCCCCCCCCCCACGTGACACCTACTCGTGCCGCCCCTGAATGCGTTTTACAAACTTTGGTTTTGCATCAGATGCGATGGTAGATAATATGTTCTGAACCGTTTCCGTATCGTCGATTTGCTTTTCTGCATCTGATAACTTAGTAGATTCTTTAATACCATAAATAATTACATTTTTTTCTCGCTTTTTTTTTGTTGTTGCTCAATGGAGAATGCGTTAATAACTGTTAGCTGTTCAAGGGGTTTTTTTTTGTTTTTGTTTGCAACTGTGACCAACTGGATTCGATATTTCTGGTTGTTGTAAAAGTTTGTTTAGTAGATTTTTGGACAAGTTGATCTAACTCCAGTTGTTGTTGCTTTATGACTTGCTCTAGTTCGGATATTTTGGCCAGCCATTTTGCAGATTCAGCTTCAAGAATTTTTTTAATTGCGTTATCGACTTGTTTTAATTGAGTTGGTGTTAAATTAGTCATCGCAAAGGTTTGTTTTTTTTTACAATATAGATTTAAAGTTAATATGTAAATGTAATATATAAATTACATTTAGGTATTTATAATTTTAAAATTATTTAGGTATATATAATTTAAATATATATATATATATATATATATATATATATATATATATATATATATATATATATATATATAATATATATATATATATATATATATATATATATATATATATATATATATACATGTATATATATATATATATATATACATATATATATTATATATATATATATTATATATAAATTAAAACAGGTGCAACGCAGTTTGATTGTTTGAATTACAAGAGGAGAAAAGTATATATATAGATATATATATAGATATATATATATATATATATATATATATATATATATATATATATATATATATATATATACATATATATATATATATATATATATATATATATATATATATATACATGTATATATATATATATATATATATATATATATATATATACATATATATATATATATATATATATATATATATATATATATACATGTATATATATATATATATATATATATATATATATATTATATATATATAATATATATATATAATATATATATATATATATATATATATATATATATATATATATATATATATATATATATATATATATATATATATATATATATTATATATATATATATATATGTATATATATATATATATATATATATATATATATATATATATATATATATATATATATATATATATATATATATATATATATATATACATGTTCTTTATAAACAAAGGAGCTCTTACGAGTATTTTCCATCATCGGTTTTGACTAGACTCCCGCATATGAGTTCGGCTAATGCTCTATTGTTGAGTCAACAATACATTTGAAACTTATATTTTAAAATTAACAGTTTCAAGAGTTTTTCATTAAAGCTCTGTGTATCTATTTTATAAAAAAAAAATTTCATTTGAGCGTCCCCTTATGATCCTGCGCCCAGGTAAAAAGTACCAAGTGACCGTTCCCCACGCGGCGGCCCTGTATGTATATATAAAGCATAATGTATATGTATATTTAAGCAAAATGTATATATAATGCATATTTATACATATAAACATAAAGAAGACATGTATGCATAAAGAAGGCATGTATGAGATAAAAGTTTAGTTAGGAAAACATTATTTCATTGATAAAGCTGTATATAAATGGTTTATGAACGCATGTGAACGATATATACCGATTGGTGGAAACGTCAAACGTCGGTGAGAAAGCTTTAAATTGGTGAGAAAGATTTAAAATAAAAATTTAATATTGTGGATTTTAAAGCTTCAGAAGGATCGCTTGATTGCTGTAAAAATAGACATAATGTTGTTTTTTGAACTATTTCTGATAAGGAAAGGTCGTTTAGAGAGAAAAAGACATCAAGTTGTAATTGTTAATGTAGTTTAATAAAATATTTACGATGCTAAAAAGTTTGGTTTATTTTATTAAAAACCTCCGACGAATTTCTTTTATCTAAAAAGTGAGCAACGTGCTGGAGGAAAATTGAGCAAAGTTCGTTTGACAGTCTAGGCAGCAAGAAATGAGATTAGTGAAAAATTGCTTATGTTTATAATATAAAAGGCAGAAAAACAACGTTTAAAAGCTTTAAAAAGTCTACCTTGTCAGTACAAGTCTCAAAATAAATTCTGGATGGACTCTAAAATCTTTACTGATTATGTAAGATGGTTTGATGCAAAGTTAAATGCTAAAGGTAGAAAAGTTGCTCTAATCATATATAAGTGCTAAGTTCAACTTAATAGTTGACATTCTCAAAGTATTTGAATTTTTATTTTTACCACCAAATAACCACCAAAACTCAGCCAATGGACCAGGGTCATAAAGGCATTGGAGGTTTTCAATCGCACAAATGTTGTGAGGCGCCGTATCAAATCACCAATGCTGCTAAAAAGACCCCAAATATCAACATTTTTGAAGCTATGATCATGTTTGTCATAGCTTCAAAAATGTTGATATTTCTTTACTGTCTAAAAGAACAAATTTATAACAAAAAAACAAAATCTATATATTTTATCAAAAAAATTGCCCGCTTTTGATTGCTTTTTTGCGAGAATGTTTATCAAGCATCTTTGATACAAGGCTTAGCAATTGTCGGATATATATATATATATATATTTATAAATTTTTCAATAAGTGTATATAATATAAAAAATAGTTATTATTTTCAAACTTGTAGGTATTTAAAACTGTTGTTAAAAATGTGGATATTTAAAGAATAAATTTTTTTTTAGCCATCTGTTTATTGCGAGTGTCTCTACCTACTTTGACCGTGATTGCCAACATCTGATTTACTATGCATTACATATAACTCTGAAAATAAAAGATAATTATATGCTACCTTACAAAAAAAAGAACTGGACACAATTCTAGAAGTAACGCTATGATATTTGAAGTTAGATCTCCCTCACATAAAATGTCTGCTCATTCAATTCACCAATAATGCATTTTAAAATACGAATTTTTCTGGTCAATTAGCTATTGCTGATACAAAAAAATAATAAAATTTAAACAAAATAGCGTCTATCTTATTCTAACTTGGCATTAAATAATGTTTTCATTTTTCTAGATCCTTAGCAACGGCCTTATCATCAAGAATGGCCCCTAACGGGGCCGGCGCGAGTAGGTGTCACGTGGAAGGGCGGGGTGCCATTAGAACTTTTGCCGACTAAAAAAAAAAAAGTCCTTCTTTTCGAAAATTTGCCGACTGCTATGACGACATATGCCGACTAACTGTCTAAACTACCGACCAACTTATATCAAAAGGGTCGACATTTGCCGACTAACTAGTCAAATTTGCCGACTAAGGGTCAAATTTGCCGACTAAGCGTCAAATTTGCCGACTAAAAATCATTGATGGGGGGGGGGTGTCACACACCCCTTCGCGCCGGCCTTGGTCCCTGATTCTTGCTGATGGAAAACCAAAATCAAGGAAAAAAATTCACTCTGATCAAGTTATAAACTTTCGAACAGAGCTAACTTTTCGATTAGAGTTAACTTTTTAGATATTATAATAATCTTTAAAAGAGGTTTTACTTTTTTAACGAGTTTTTCTCAGTTTCGAATTTTTTTTTCACTTTGATCCAAAATAACTTCGATCCTATGTATTCCTTACATAGAAGTCTGTGTTTTCAACTATTTTTTCCTCCTTTATCCGTTATTTATACTTCTTGCTCAAGTTATTTTAATTAACCAAATTAAGTCCTACTATTGATTTATTAATTATTTTTTTAGTTCAGCACACGCATTCACCAGTACTGACTATATTGATAATCAAAAGACATCTTGGAACAAAAAAACTTAATATTAGGGTATTACCTAATTATGTTTCAGTATAATTTTTTTTCTTTTTGTTTGTATGTTTGTTTTTATGTTTTTATCATTATAAATCTAAAGGCATTATTAAGAAAAAAGATTTTATGAAAAAAAAAATTCGGATATGTTCTACTTAAGAAAACTTGCAATAGTTTAGCAAAAAATTGCGTATAAAAAAAAAATAAACGTTTTAAATTCATCCTTTAATAAAATAAAAACATTTTAATAAGTTTTAATAATATTTAATTAAAAGTTCTATAATTAAAATAATGATTTTAAAAAAAAAATTCTAATGTTGAAGTAATATTTTTTTTTAAGCAATTTCAATCACCAAACAAATTTCAATACGCTAATAATTTTTGGGACCGTTAGTTTAAATTAAGGTTTAAATTATGTTTAAATTATGGTTTAAATTAAAGAAATTGTAATTTACTAAGTACTTAAGTAAAGATGTAGTTTGGGTATACGAGACGGTAATTTATTCGGCCCATACCTTTATATAAAAACAATTTTAGGAATCGAATGAAGGATAACTAAACGCAAGTAATCTAATTTACTTTGATTGAAATCATGCCACTTGCTCAATTGGCAGATCCTTGGCTTGGGATTCATGTGGCTGAAGATGCGGAGGTAGCCTTATTTATATAGGCAATACCTACATAACAACATATAATAACTATATCAATCACATTTTAAAATTAAATAAAATCTAATTTTATATTATAAAATAAAAACTTTATAAAATATCAGAAAGTTAAGTTTGTATATTCTATAAATAGAGTGCCTGATGGTCTTAAAGAAAGAGTAATAATAATGAGTAAAAACAATTATAAAAAATTCTTGTAGAAGAAATTTAGATATGTGTTTTTACTAATATATATATATATATATATATATATATATATATATATATATATATATATATATATATATATATATATATATATATATATATATATATATATATATATATATATATATATATATATATATATATATATATATATATATATATATATATATATATATATAAATTACTTAACAACAATATATAAATCACTTAACAAAATTTTTTTTTTCATTTTACACTGTTTTATCAACAAACTCATCAACAAAAGATTCTTCAGAGATTTCGGATGAGTCTTTGTTGATGAAACACAGTGTAAAATAAAAAAAAAAATTTTGTTAAGTGATTTTCCACTAATTTATAATTGCTTTGTTCTTTTAAGAACATTGAGCACTCTATTTTGTAGAATACATTTTAAAAATTGTTTATATATATATATATATATATATATATATATATATATATATATATATATATATATATATATATATATATATATATATATATATGTATATATATCTGGCTTTTATGGTACTGATTAAAAAGTAAAATCTGTGACTCTTTTTTCAAAGTTTGTTTGGCATTTGTGTTGTAAAATGATTTTGATGTCTAATTATTTATAACTTTATATCAACTAAGATTTTTTTATTAAAGTAGAAGTTTGAGGTTATTATGCTTAGTTCTTTTTCGTAGTTATTAACTTTTATTTGCTTTATCATTATCAAAAAATTTGCTCATGTTCTGAAAGTTTATTTGAATCAAAGATATATCGAGTAATTTAAATATCAATAACATTTTACATCTATTTTTTATGTACTTCACAATTTTTTTTTTTTTTTCACAGAAAAATTTCACAGAAAAATAATGACACTCTCATATTCTCAAGTATCTAGTTACCTAAGTTTCATGATGAAATTACCATGAGCTGATAGTTAGTTTTCCACATTGGTTGCAATTTTTTTAAAGGATCCATTAAATAAAATTTTCTCAAATAGTCATAAATTTTTGAAAATTATCAGATTTATTTAAATTTTCACTTATGTGTTATTATTTTTAAGCTCCTCCCAATGATATATAACACTATAATCTGAGTGTTAGCCAGCCCAATGGCACTGCATATATTGCAAAATTCCTAATAGGTTTAAAACTCCCAAAATTCAATGATTTTTTTAAATAATAGGATAAAAATTCCCTAAATTTTAGAGAAATAATAATAAATATTCTTAATATCACAAAAACACAGTAAAAAATATATTCTTGGCTAACACCCTATTAATATTTCAAAATTATTAGTAGTATTTAATAATAGTTTCTAAATTGTATTTAGAAATCATTGTAAATATTAGTATATAATAGTAGTTTCTGAATAGTATTATAGTAGTATATCAATGAATTACAAGTTACTTAACAGAAAGAACTCAAAGAGTAAAAATTGGTGACCAATTATTATCTGAACCCTATGTGGCAGGTGTGCTTCAGAGATCAGTACTGGGACCGATGTTATTCATGGATACAGATGAATTATAATAAAAGTGCTACCAAATATGTAAATATTAATCTCTTTGCAAAGCACACAGTCTGCCCTGAAGAAAAGAATTATAAAGATTGATGCTTAAGTTAAATAATGGATTAGAAGCACTTGCTTTAGTGGTCAAGTGAATCCCTTGTTTGGTGAAAGAGGTCTTGAACTGAATACAAGTAAATCAATGTGTATGCTGAATATGAGTTCAAAGTAAAATATTTAAGTATTACTCAAAATGTCCTAGCACGTGTCATGCTGTAAAATAAAATAGTTAAATTCAGTAAATGTACCAAATACATGGGTATTAACATTTTTTTAAAAGGGCTATTTATGAGGAGAGTCATATATAGTGATATGAACTGTTTTTATTGTGTTTTTAAATAGCATTAAATAGATAAATCATTATAATAATAACAACAATAATAGTAATAATAATATATATAAATATATATATATATATATATATATATATATATATATGTTTTTTGTTGTTTACAGTAGTTTTTATTTAAAATATATATATTAATTTTTTTCATTTAGCTGCTTTAAATTATTACTGAAAATTATTTATTGTAAATATACCGTACCTAACAGTCCAAATTTTTTTGTCTATCTTTTATTATAGATACCACACCTAAATTAAATAATGACTTGTAATATCAAACTTTTAGTAAAAGAAATACACAATTTGGGACAAGAAAATTTATATTATATGCGTATCTTGCTTTTTTTAAATTATTTACATACTGTATTTATGTTTGTTTTTTTTCAATTTCATAAAAAATTTAAAAAAAATAATGCACATTTTTGCAGTGTAAAAAATTATTCATGTATACTTGGGTTATCTGGTTTGTGTTTTTTTGGTTTTTTATCTCACAATCGTTGCCTGCTATGATGTATGTTTTTTGGAAAAGATTTTAAAAATATTTAAATAAATACAAAAAATCCAAAATTATGATTCACTCTTTGGATAATATATGAATCGCTAACTTGAAAAAGGAGACATGTTCTGCAAAAATTCATATAACATGTCCCCTTTTTCAAGTTAGCGTTTCATATAGAATATGCATAACATTTTATCTATTTTGAAAAGTTTTTTTGTAAATTATATTTTTTGTATGTTATTATTATTATGCCCAAAATTATTATAAGTAATTGCAATGTTTATATTTTTAATTTTAAATTAATTTTTTAAAGTATATCATATATTATAATTATTTTTTAATTTTTTTTTTACTTGCTTTGATACTTAACATTCTTGTGGTTGTTTAATATTTTTTTTTTTTTGTAACTTTAATTTAGACTGCCAAATATTTTTTTTTTTCTTTGTCTTAAAATATATTTCTGATGCCAAATTACTTTTATTTATGTTATTTTTTTAAAAGTTCAGTCCTAGTTTTTAACTATTTTTTTGTTTTGGAGACATTTAATAACAACTGATTCTGGATTAAAATGTTTTTAAATATATATTTTTTTCTTTTTTTATATTTATTTATTGTTTCATTGATTTCCTCTATTGTTCATCTAGTGTTGTCATTGTTTGGAATATAATTAAATTTCAATGAGTTCTCATAAGGCAGACCAATATTATAAAGTATTGTTATATTTTTTAAAGTGGGTTTTTTTAATTATTTTTTAGATGTTTGCTTCACAAGAAGATTTGACACATGTTGAAGTTAGTTTTCATTTTAAAATATTATTTTGTGCATTTAATTTTTATTTTATAATAATGACAACAACAATTTTTGTTAATTTTTATTGCTGGAAATAATTAAGTCTTGTTTTAACTTTTAACAACAATTAAATTATATTTGGTGGTATTTTTCTAAAATTAGCTTATTTTGGACATTAGCTGATGACATAAATAAATTATTTTTAATGCAGAGTTGTATTAAAAATAGTTTGTCTCATTTTTAATCAAAACAAGATTCTTTTCATAAGGAAATGGGTATTTTGTTAAATGTCTGATTTTTATTTAATCATTGTATATATAGCCTTATCTGCCAGACTGTTGTCTGATATTTATATTGGTTTTGCTAAATGTTTCAATAAGTCATAAATATTTTTTAGTGAGTTTAAATATATTTTTTAATTTAATTTGCATGTTAAAAAAAATTATAAAAACATATTGTATTTTTTTATTTATTTAGCATTCAACAACAGAAACTACCAAACCAAGCACTGAATTTGATTTGAGTAATATGGTTAAAAAGTCTAATAAAGTAATGAAGGCTGAGCCATCACACTTTGAATTATTAAAAGTCCTTGGACAAGGTTCTTTTGGAAAGGTAGGAGTTTACAAATACTTTGCTTTACAAATGTAATAAACCAATTTTTTAATAAATTAATGATAAATAATTTAAGAAAATAAATAAATACCTTTGATTTAGGTTTTTATGGTAAGAAAGATTGTAGGAAAAGATGCAGGACATATTTATGCTATGAAAGTTCTAAAAAAGGCAACACTAAAAGGTTTTTTTTTTTTTTTTTTTTTTTCTATCATTTTTTTATTTAATAAGGAATTGTTATCCGTACTTAATAAAAAATTTTAAGTTTGTTTTCACATTCAAAGAAAATAGAAACATACCTTTCATAAAAAAGTATATATTTAATATACATTAGAAAATATATTTAAATTTTATACTTTTAACAATACAAATCATATAAATTTACAATAACAGTTAGTTATAAAACACATTTTAAAATAGCTTGTAAATCTGAAGATTTAGGATTTATATGTCATAGTTTATATTAGGTGGTATGAAGTCTTCATAAGCATAAAGATGTTGAATAAGAACAAGTTTTCAAATAAAGTTTGCCTATTAAATGTTAAATAATAATTTAATGTTTAATAATAATTCTGAAAATTACTAATAAAAACTAATAGAAAAATAACATAAAAAATTATAATTTATTGTTAAAAACTTTTTGATTATAACAAACTGGTTCTAGAAATTTATTTAATGAGAAAAAAAAATTTCTTTGCATAGTAATGCAAATATTGCTTATATATAGGGGAAGTTGAGGCATAACCGCCCCCGTAACGTTTGGATTGATATTATATGAAAATAAAAGCAAAATATGTTTTTTTAACAATTTATTTCAATAACCACATCATTAGGCTTTATATTTCTGCAATTAGGAAAAAAAGTTAAACAATATTTGAAGACATTATTACATGAAAAATACACATAGTGAAAAAAACGGTTTTGCCCCATTGTGAGGCACAACTGCACCCTCACAAAAATCATTGAAGGTGCACTTTTCATGGTATATTTTTTTTAAATTAAGAAATGCACATTATATTCCTGATTTAAATGAGGAGCAGCTCGCACAGCTCCCCAAGTTGGTTTTAGGGAGCTTATCTCCGCTCTTGGGCTCATTTATTTCCGCTGAGGCCTATATATATATACATATAATATATATATATATATATATATATATATATATATATATATATATATATATATATATATATATATATATATATATATATATATATATATATATATATATATTTTCATTATTCACTTCCCAACAAACTTGTGTTTCGGAGTTAAAGAGTTGAGAAAGGGTTGTACCACGATTTACAACAAAAAATGAGTAGTCTTCCCGATTGTAGTGGCCCCCTCGGGCCACTACAATCGGGAAGGCTACTCATTTTTGTTTGTGTATATATATATATATATATATATATATATATATATATATATATATATATATATATATATATATATATATATATATATACAAACCTATATATATATATATATATATAAAATATATATATATATATATATATATATATATATATATATATATATATATATATATATATATATTTTAAATATATATATATATATATTAAAATATACAAAAATATATATATATATATATATATATATATATATATATATATATATATATACAAACCTTGACAAGCAAGACCGCTGCGCGGAGAAATTAAGTTGAGCACGGTACTTCCAGGGGCGTGGTGGGAGTCGAACTCCGAACCGCTCGCTTACAAAGCGAGCGCTCTTACCACTACACCACTATATATATATATATATATATATATATATATATATATATATATATATATATATATATATATATATATATATATATATATATATATATATATATATAATATATATATACATATATATACAGGCCTTGTTTTAAAGCGTTACGCCTAGAGCGATTTACGTACGCCTTAAGCGCTTTTTACGTACGCGTAGAGCTGTTTTAGTTAAGCTACTTTTTATCATTTTTTAACTTTTAAATTAGCGGTAACATAAAAGAAGTAATTAATTTTCAAAAAAACCACATTAACATTTAAATAACGATATGTAAAGATATTTATTAAAAAAAAGAATTTACTTTAAAAATAATTGTTGTAACTTTTCATCGCGATATATCTTTCCCTTTTTATAGCAATTAATTTGACGCTAAACTTTTTATTCAAATATTTAGCAACATGAAAAATTGTTTGTCAATCCTTAACTACAAATTTTTTGCAATGTTTTTAATAAAAAGTAGTAATTTTTTAAAGTTTTTAGTAAAAAACTTTTAAAAAATCTATATTCCATATTTATTAATACAGAATATAAAAGTTTTTTGTAATATAGATTTTTTATGAATTTTTTACTGAATTTATAATAAAAAACATTTGCAAAAAAATTTGTAATTAAGAATTGACATTTTTTTTATTTAATCTCAAAAAATGTCATAATATTTTTGTTATCAGGATAACAAAAATATCAAGACATTTTTTCGAGATGTTAAAAAAAATGTCTTTGCTTTTCTTATTAGTTAATGGTATATAGTTTAAGCTATGCGGAGGGGGGGGGGGGTCGGCACAGAAAAAAAAATTACCTGTTACTCGCAATATTTGAATGAAGACAATTTGTTAAAATTCTTCTGCGTGCGATTCAATAAGTTTTTTTTTCATAAATCAAGTTATATTACAAGGTAAAGAAATCATGAGTAGACTACAACATCCGCTGATGACACTAATATTACGTTGAATATATTTATATAACAGAGATTTTATTATGCACGCGCACATTACAGGTTCCGTTAAATAAATACTAAGGCACGTTTTAGTTTAATGACAGTCTCCATTTTTTACTAATGAATATGTATTTTTTTTTATAAAACAAAACAAACTAGTATATAAAAACCTTGTATATTTCTATTATCTCTAAATTGTTTAAAGTTCGAATATGGATTGCATTTTGAAGGACAAAAGATTTACTTTAAAAACTTTTAAATCTTGGGACTTTGCCGATGCTTTGCCGATGCGATGATCACAGAAAAAGAGAAGACTTACGTTATTAAAATCAAATGTAAGTTATGTGATCTTCATCAAAATAAAATAATATCCAAAAGCAATAGTGCCGTAAGGGCAACTGCCCAACAGTTTATAAATGATACAAGTCATGTTAAAATATTTTAACATGTTACTATATTTTAATTAAGTTGATATATAATTAAAAATAAAAATATAGGTCAATAAATAGATTAAATTTATTCTTAACAAAGATTACCTCATATTTATTTTTTTTTTTTTTTTATTAAATTAAATTGCTTACAAACGAAAAAAAAAAAAGAGTTTTGTAATTATACGTAGAATGAAAATACTTTTGAGTTTGTTTATAAGTTAAGGAACTTAATTTTTAATAAACAAATTTTTACGAAAAATTATTATAAACAGATACGATTCAAATTATTAAATATACTTAAATTATTTCAGTTGAGTATTTTTTTAAGTTTGCACGATTAAAGTTTGGCGTAATAGTATTTGTTTTTTTGTTTTAAGAATAATTAACAAAAGAGTTTGCATAATTAAGTCTTTTATATTTAATTTAATTTTTTTTTTTAATTTCCTAAAATTAAAAAAAAAAAAGATTTAATTGTTGAAAACGATTTTTCTCTATAGCTCTGTTTCTTTGTGATTTGTTTAAAAAGTTAAATATTTTTACAATAACATAAAAAATTTATGAATTGAATTCCTAGCGAACGCGTTCTAAACTACGTATCAAAAATATGCTCAAAGCAGACTAAACTTTTTTATATTTTTATAAAACACAAGTTGAAACGCTTTTAAAAATTTTAAAAATATTTAAAAACTTAAATTTTTCTTTGCTAGTCAAAACAAAATCGTTGTTTTAATAATTAACATGGGTCTGTGTTTTTCAATGTTAATATTTTTTGTTTACTCTAGAAATTTTTAAAAATAAAAAAAATCATTATTATTTTTTATTCAATAACGATTAAAAACAATTATTCAAAAACAAATTTCAAAAATAATATATATATATATATATATATATATATATATATATATATATATATATATATATATATATATATATATATATATATATATATTTTACTAAATAATATTGAACTAAAATTAATAATAAAATAAAAATTGAAAACATTACAAAATTTTTATAATAAATTTATATTTAAAACGTTTATAGTTTATATTTGAGTTAATTGTTAAATTGAACTAGTTTGCGGTTATTTATTTATTGCGGTAGTTAAAACACTAAACGTCTATAAAAAAAAATAAAGATAATTTTATGACGTCAAAATCGCGTTAAGCTGATGCATTAAGCACTTTTATATTTAAAACAAGGCCTATATATATATATATATATATATATATATATATATATATATATATATATATATATATATATATATATATATATATATATATATGTATATATATATATATATATTTATATATATATATATATATATATATATATATATATATATATATATATATATATATATATTATATATATATATATATATATATATATATATATATATATATATATATATATTGCAATAAAAATATATAATAGTAAATATATTACTTTTCTTTTTATATAGCATATAACAATCCACAAAAAACATATGTTACCTTTTTGGACAATGCTATTTCTTTAGATTTAGGTCATCAAAAATATTTAAAATAATGAGATTACAAATAAACAAAATTACCACTTGATTGATCTTCTGAAATAATTTATCATTAATTAATTGTTTAATGATCTTAAACTTTAAAAAGCTTTTTTTTGAAATTGTCAAATATGAACAAGTATCTTTTGTGCATCGAACCATTTGATAAAGGTATATATATAAATATATATATATATATATATATATATATATATATATATATATATATATATATATATATATATATATATATATATATATATATATATATATATCAGAAGTGTACGCTAAAATTCCTTTGACACAATAAAGTCACCTAAAAATGCGACTATTGATTTTAATCGGAAGTTCTAATTTTTTTTTTTTATCTAAAGAGTTTTATAAAAAGAAAAGTAGCTATCTAAAATAATAATAAAATTATATTTTGAAATTTACTGTGTGTTTTCCACAGGGCTCTGGAGCTGCTTTTAAAAAATTGACTTTGGCCCAAGGGTCCTGCTCCACTAGAATTTTTGGCTCCAGCTCCAGAGCTGCTCTGCAAAAAAACTAATCAAAATTTTTTTTGACAGTAACTTAAGTACTATTAATATTTTATTAATAAAAGTCATGGTTCATCCTTAAAAATAATATATTATCTAAAATATCATGTCTGAGTGAAGAATGCAAATCGCTCGATATAAACTTTAGCGCAGAAAAAGTTTCTCGACACTGTGAGACAGGCATACAAGTGACTATTTGGCATGCTTTTTGTATTCTTTTTGGGTATTCTTCATTTTGCTCAAAAGCTGATTTCACTTTTAAATGTCCTATTTCTTCCATTACCCTACATTTGTCCATAAGGTTTGTAATATATGTATCTATCATTAAAATAAATTTTGGTCACACCTCCTTTTTTCTTGTTTATCAAGCTCCTTTTTAAACTCATTCTCTTTTTCATCAAAATTAGATTTACTTAAAACTGAAAGAAGTGCTGTATATGACTCAGCAGTATTTCTTATTTGTTGACTTTCCGTTATATTTTTGGCATCTCTTTTATAAATTTGTTCTGCTGCTGTTTATAAACCTTGTTTTGCTCGTGTTATCTGGTTTTTTTTTCAACATTCTATAACTAGCATCAACATAAACTGCAGCAAAAAAAAAAAATCATTTGTAAAAAGTTTTTCTTCTCATTTCTGCATTGATTTTGAAATGTCTTCTGCAAGTAGTCCTTTATTCTTCTCTAGATCAGATTTCAATTTCAACCATTACTTTAGGAACTATCCTGGAGTTAATTCCTTGAAGTTTAACTGTCATATTATACAGCTTTTTTTTTTTAATTGCGAAGATGACTCGATCTATCTTATATTTCAGGGCGTAGAAAGAATATCTGATCAACTGCAACAAATTTCTCACACAGTGTACACAAAAGTAATAATTATTCAATCATCTGGAATGTATAACCCCTGTGTGTCTCATTATCCAAAATTGGAACAACCTTATATTGCTTCCTTGCTAAACATATTGTATGTGAGTTTTTTTAGTTTCATTACAATATAACAAACTTTTGCCAAATGTTAGGCAATGTATGTTTTTTTTTTAAAGCATCATGAATAGCTAGCTGCAAAGTGTGAAACACAGCAAATCAGTTTAATGTCAGTAGACAATTGTTGACACCATTCTGGGAGGACAAAGACAAGATTTTCTTCCCAAGCTGCTGTACTTTCTTCCTCATTAGTATCCTGTTGTTAAAACTCTCATTGTTCTTCATTTTGCAAAGCTTAATCTCAAAATATTCATCACCTCAATATTGATTTAAAAGAGTGATTGCTCTAATCATATTGGCTGCATTGTCTACGCATACTATTTGATCTTTGCTTATACTCTATATAGACTAAATCTATATAGAGTATCTACCACTATTTTTTTGATAGCTCCATGTTTGTGCTCTCCTTGTATATCTATTAGTGCCAAAGTTTTAACTTGATTTTTTCCCACATAATAATATTGAATATTTATTCTTAAATAGTTCCTTTGGTGTCGAGTGGCTGCATTTATTTTTACGTAAATAAATTTCTGTAACAATATTTCCTTTATTTCAGCTTTCATTTTTCCAGCAAGTTCATTAATCTAATATTATTTATATACATATATATATATATATATATATATATATATATATATATATATATATATATATATATATATATATATATATATATATATATATATATATATATATATATATTGAAAAAAAAGATGTTAAAGGAAAACACAATCAGATTGCATCTGATTGTGTTTTTCTACCTAGTTCTTAATGAGATAGTTATAAATAATAAATTTATTTTTTATGTATTTTATTAGTTATTATCTTCATCTTTAACTTAATACTACAGTTTTTTTTTTAATTTATTATATCGAATTTATTTGAAAGAAGTTCATAAGCTTTTTATTTTTTTATTGTTTCATTTGTTTAATTAAAATATAAATTTATGATGTTTTGCATCATTAAAACATAAAAACAATGAAATAACAATTTTTTTAAGTTAACATTTTTAATGTTTTTTCGTTGCCAACGCTAATAGAACTTTAATAACTTTTTTAGCAAACGTTTTTACAAATTTAAACTTTTCTTTTTCTGAAATAAATTTATAATTTAATTAAGTTATAAATAATATAAGTTTTAATTTTAATAACAAAAGCTTTTTAAATTTAAAATTATTTTTAACAATAAGCAAACTATTCCATTTAAAACATAATGTTTTTAGAAATATTTTTTCAAAATTAAATAGAAAACTTTTATTATTATATATATGGTTTTTAACAAATGCTTTTACAAAATTAAATTAACAACGTTTCTCATAATTAATTTGTATTTATTACTCAATATAATATTATTAATAAACTTATATAAACAAATAAAATTTCGTTAAATATTTTCTGTAAACGTTTTATATAAAAAAGTCTCATTAGCAAATCACCATACCTTGTTCGTAGAAATTTGTGTTGTATTTGCGCTCAAACTTTTTTGTTTTATTAAACAAGAATCTTTAACAAAATCTTTTTATAAAAAAAATTTAGTATAAAAACAAGTAAACCATTATTAGTTTTCTCCCTCCCAAATTTTTAGGATGAGCACAATTTTTTAGACTTGTAACTAAATTAGCAAGCATTTTTTATCACCCCTGCAATTTATAAATATCCATTAACTTATTTTGTGTGACTGGAGCGATTGCTCCCGCTTCATACCAAGGTTTGTGTGTGTGTGTATTATAGAAATATATTGTTTATATTTAAAGTTTATTGAAAAAAATAAAATTCTGTTTTTGTTGTAATTGTTTTCTCCTAAATTATTCTTACTTTTTCTTTCAAAAAATTGTTGTTTGCAACCAAATCTCCTTAAAATCCTTACTTTTAACCTAAGTTTTAATAGTAGAAACACTGTAGTTGTTGAAGTCGCTTAAATGTTATTGAAAGAGACTTTTTTTTTTTTACCATAAAAGTCTCCTATGACTACAGTATAAGGACATATATATTTTTAACATTTTAATTTTGTTTCTTGAAATTTTTATCATTTTTATATAGTACAATTAAATTATTAGTTCGTGATCGTGTTCGTACAAAAATGGAGCGAGACATCCTTGCAGAAGTTGAGCATCCTTTTATTGTTGATTTGCATTATGGTAAACTTTTTAATGGCTCTACAGTTTCTTGTGTTATTTAATTTGTTGATTGTTGTGAAATTTTTTTTATTTCATATTAAATTAATAATATTTTTAATATAGCTTTTCAAACAGAGGGCAAGCTCTACTTAGTGCTTGGTTTTCTTCGTGGAGGTGATTTATTTACTCGACTTTCAAAAGAGGTATATTGTACTCTTTGAGCTATGATTTTAGTTTTTAATAATTACAGTTTTTTAAGCTAGATTTGTATGGAATGTACGTGTAAAATAACAGCTGATTAATGGTTATCTACTTTTGGAATAAATTTTGTTTTGAACTCCCAATATCAATTCTGACTGAACAAATTTGATCTGCTAGAATCACTAGGCAAACTTAATAAAAAATTCAAATTATTTCGTAAACAGAAGGTTAAAAATATTATGTTAGCAACTAAATGTTTGATTATTGGAATAAATAAAGTTTCAAAACCCTAAAAATCTTTAGTTTAAAGTATAAAAATAGTGCAAAAGATATAATTCAAAAATACCAAATGTTTTTGATTGGTGGAATAAATCCAGTTTAAGATCCTAAGAATCAACTTTAGTTTAGAGGTTTGTTAAATGTTAAATGAATATTTTTATGAATAAATGGAACTTTTTAAAATGAAATGAATTTGAAATAATAATTAGAAACGCTAATATGACTTTTTAAGGCCAAGTAATAAATAACACAAGTTTGATAGATAAAAAAAATTATGGCCTGAGAAAATTATTAAAATTGAAGCAGCCTAAGTAGTTTAATTTTGCTTAAGTTGTTGTAAAGGTCTCAAAAGTTTGAGATCATTAAATGTTGATGTTTGTTGTTTTAAGTATTAAAAATTAAGTAGAGAGTATAAAATTGTCATAATCATAAAATGGAAGCAGGAAGTCATTTTGTTAATAAAATCATTTTATTTAGATGATTTAAAATAATATGCAAAAAAGGCTATACAAATGAAAAGGTTTATTGAGAGTTAATAGCAAAGTATAAAAATTGTATTTTACTTAAATTTTGTATTTTACCTAAAAAATATTCTGCAATATTGATTTTTTTTTAAAGCAGCGTTTTTTGTGGATTGTTATACTTTATTGCAATGCAACTTTTATAATATTAAACAGACACAAAAAAAAGTCTATAAACCATTTGCAGAATTTCAATTTTAGGTCATGTTTACTGAAGAAGATGTAAAAATATACTTGGCAGAGCTTGCAATGGCTCTTGATCATTTACATAGGCTTGGAATAGTCTACAGAGATTTGAAACCAGAGAAGTAACTTAGTTTTTTATTTTTACTCCTATTGATGCATTTTATGCAATTTTTTTGGTTATTTGCAATTTTTTTCTTCATTTTAACAGTATTCTGTTAGATGTAGATGGACACATTAAGTTAACTGGTATGTTTTGATTTATTTTGAAATAATTATATATTTTACATATTTACTTTTTATTAAAATTTTGATTCTAAAACGTTTTGCTATATTTTTTAGACTTTGGTCTTAGTAAAGAAAGCATCTATGATGTAGAAAATAAAACTTATTCTTTTTGTGGCACAGTTGAATATATGGCTCCTGAGGTTTTTAAATTTTACCTTTTAAAGAATATATTTTGATTGATATTGTAATAAGATTTGTCAGTATTTAATAGGTTTTTAATTTGTTTTTTTTTATTATAAGTGATTTTTTTATAAAAAATTATCAGAAAAGCATAATTTGATGCAGTTTTCATAACTTTCTGTAATATTTAAATAATAAAATAACATTTTAGAAATCTGTCCAAAGCACGCAATTTTAAAATTATATCATTAATGCTGATATATATATATCGTCAGGGATAGTGCAAATCCGCGTAACTAGCATTGGCTACTATATTTGGATATTATTAATTTAAACACAAAATATTTATTGTTGAGATTACAAAAAACATGAATAATACTCTTTTTACTAAAATAAACCCAAAATCAGTTAAAATAAAAAATAAATAAAGTTTTTAACTTCTCCAGTAAAAAACATGTACTGTAGATACGCGGTCTTATAAAATACTCGTTTCTCCTAATTGGAATTAGGAGAAATGAGGTTGGCAATTTATTGCCGACCTCAAACACTTTAAGGTCGGCAGTTAGATTGGTGTTGCCGAACGCTATCCCTAATTCAGAGGGATGCTATATATATACACACAAACACAGATATACACACACAGCTCTCTGAATAAGGTTGGGCATTCTGCAATTTTGAGCTTAAAGTGTTTGAGGTTGACAAAAAAATTGCCATCCTTGTTTCTATATTTTATGGTAAGACCTTTGTGTATAAATGTTTTTGCCAACCTCTAATAGTTTAAGGTCACAAATTTATTTCCAATCTCATTTTTCCTAATTTCAAGGGTTATATATAAACCAATTTAAAAAATGTTGTTTTAAACCAAAGTAATGTTTTCTTAAAAAGATTTGAACTTACAACAGGAAAATAAGACAGGTTTATGTTCACAAATGTAACTAATCTTCAATATAAATATATTTTTTTAATCCCATGATTTTTTTTTTTTTTTTTTTTTTTTTTTTTTTTTTTTTTTTTTTTTTAATTTATCAATATGCTTCATCCAGGATACACTCTACCTAATAGAACTGAAATTGGAGGAGAAATATTAGATAGGGTTTACACAGAATAAATTGAAAAATGTAATGTATTGAATGGGAAAATTGTAGCCACGCCTTTAGATGGCTGTAGTAATGTACATAATGAACCTATAGTTTGTATCTCTGTAATTACAGATAAAATTAACATTTTAGTAGGAACAATCAGCACTTCTGGTCATTCACATACTGGTGAATATCTTACACCATACTGGTGAATATCTTACACAATTTGCAAGAGAAGCAATAGATTTTGTAAGACGTTAATTTGGGTGCACAGTAAAAAGCTTTTTGACTGACAATGTTAAGATCATTTGCTAATCCTTTAGCAAATGATCTTAACATTGAAAATGTGAGCAAGCATGTTACACAAATAATAAAATTTATAAGAAATAATCATCAAGCTGGAGCAATTTATAAATTAAGTGGAGGAACAAAATTGTCACTTCCTACTGAAATTTGCTGGAATTCTGTATGTGATTCACTTAAAAAATATGTCAACAACTGGAGCATTACTTTTACAATGTTTGAAAAAAATAAAGACTTGGATCTCGTGATTGGTGAAAAAGTAGAAAATGTAGCAAAGCTTGTATTTATATATAGAACATTAAACCAGGGGTGTGGATTCGTAAAAAAAAAGTAACGACTCCGACTCCAGTTGTTGAAATTTTTTGAGTACAACTCTGACTCCATCTCCGACTCCAACTCCAAAGCAAAATTTTTGAAAAATTCTTTGAATTCTTTAAAAAATATTGCCCAGTAAGTTGAAATTTTTTTTTGACAAATTTATGAAACATTCTTTGATGTTTAGTATGAGCATAAGGTTAATTGAATGTTTTGTACCTGCAAGTGCAATACCAAGAAATTTTACTATCGGAGTCGGAGTCGCTATATTTTTTAGCGACTCCGGTAAAATTGTCGCAACTCCGCGACTCCGACTCCACAGCCCTGCATTAAACAACGATATATTAAATAATTTTGATGAAATATAACAATAATATTAATAAATAATATAGTTTACTCAAATAAAATACGTTATGCTTTTTTCAATTTAAAAGGATAACTAAATACCGCATTTTTTAGTAAAAACCTAATTTAAACCAAAAAAACCATGGGTTTTTTTGTTTTTTTTTTTTCAAAAAAAACTGTTTTTTTTTTTTTTTGCAACCCTGTATATATATATATATATATATATATATATATATATATATATATATATATATATATATATATCGTTTTATGTAGTGTTGTATTAAAGTAATATACAACTCTTGTTGGTTAAAAAGTGCTCAATAATTAAGAAATTTATTTTGATTATATATAAATTTCATAATAGAGCGGTTTATAATTTAAAAAGAAAAAAGAAAAGAATTTTTATTATGGAATTTTAAGTTTCATGCCTAATGGCAATCATCAGCTATATATCACAAAATTTAAAATAGACGTTAAAATTACAATTAAAATTACAGTGGCCTGAGTTCTAATGACTCCATGGAAACAAAATTAAAAGTTTTAAGAGTATCACGTGGCGAAAAATTGACGTAAACCAATCAGGATCAATCTGCGGTATCATAGAAGGAAATAAGAAATTTATTTTTGTGTCAATACTTCGAGATTATTTCACTCCTTGTGTTAAGTAGGTTTTAACCTTTATACATCAAGATTTGAAACTTCTCATTCAAACAGAGGTTGCAAACTTTTGATGTTGGGTTTGTATGGTTTGCAGTGTTTAACAATCTTCCATCTCACAAAAGGTGTAAAGTTTTTTTCTTTTATTTTCCATATTTCTTTAGATAACTTAGTATCATTTTTATATCTAATTGAGTTAAAAGATTTGAGTTGATTTGTGTATCAAACTTTAAAGCATGTCTGGCTGAGTCCAAAATACACTTTTTCTTTTTACCCCGGATTGTTTGAACAAACGGTGGCTTGATAAACAATATTGTTAGAAAGACAATGGTTGCTCATCGGACATTTAGATTTATCAATGCAGTTGCATGTCTTTTTATTAACTTTTGCCTCCTCATGTAACGTGTTTTTATTGTGAGAGTTAATAATGGATTTTATGTTTGGCATGCATGAATAACTTATTTTGATTTTGTTTATATTAAATAATTTATGGAATCTGTGGTTAACAGGAAAGTGGTGGTCGATAAGGTTTAAAAAACATTTACCTATTTTTGTTACAACATTTGCACTAAAAGGAGGATTATACCAAATTATTTTGGTATAATCCTCCTTTTATGATTGCTGTTTGAAGATTTTATACTTGGATGGTATGCAAGTTTGCAAGTGTATCCAGATTTTTTCAGGGCTTCTTGATAAGGAGGAATACTTTCTTTAAAAATCGGTTTACTCGACGATGCTGCTGATAATCCTAACTCAATGGTTTTGATTAGAACTAACATGTATGTAGTTAAGTATATTATAAGACTTAGATAAGACTATCAGTGTAGCATGTATGTAATTAAGTATATTATAAGATGGACAAAACAAGTGTAACTAAATAATGCTAATATAGTTTCTTTATATAAAAGTGCTGCATTTTTTTAATAAAATAGAGAGAAATAACTATGTAACTGTTTAGAGACAACGTTCTTTAAGTTTTATTCATCACAAAATTTGTACACAAAAATTAATAAATTAATCAAAAGTATTAAAAAAAGTTGATTTCCTTCTGGACAAAACAAGTGCAACTCCACAAAATGTTGACCAAGCTGTATTTCTCTATCAATATTTCCTGGGAATCCTTTGTTGTCGATCACAGCCTTGCATCTTTGAAGCATAGATTCAATCAGGTGATCAATGAAACTTTGTGGAATCACTGCCCAGGCCTTTTGAATTTGTACAAACAGTTGATCCTTATTACTAACACCTTCATCTTCCGGAGATTGAGGTGGCCAATCCATCATCGATAGGTGGTTGTCTTAAAACCACTGCTTGACTACTTTTGCAGTGAGTTTCGGCTCGTTGTCTTTCTGAAAAACCCATTTTATTGGCATATTCCATTCAGCATGCGGTAACATAACATCTTTCAGGATATTTTTATACTTGAAACGGTCCATTATTCCATCAATTGAATGTATTAGACCTAGACCGTTAGCAGAAAAACACCCCCAGACCATTACATTGCCTCCATCATGCTTTATTGTCTTATGGCAGTAGCGTAAATTGAGACGTTTTCCGGCCGGTTTACATACGCGTCAAATGTCATTGTTCCCAATGATATTGAACTTCAATTCATCACTGAACAGGACAGTTCGCCATTTCTGCACATTCCAGTCAATATAAGATGTAGCACACAGGAGTCTTTTTTTCTGGTTGTTTAGTGAAATCTGCAGTTTCTTTGCAGGACGCCGAGAAAATAATCCGGCCTTAACAGCACGTCGTCTGATTGTTTGGTTCGATACAGGCAGCTCTAATTGCTTTTGTACCTTGACTGATGATATTCAGGGATCTTTCTTGACGGATCTGACTATCATCGAATCCTCTCTAGAAGTGGTGGAACCTTTGATAAAACTCACTTCGATAAACTGTCTTGATAATACTGACTGATTGACTTCCATATACTGACTGAATTACATGTCGATTTACATGTCTCTTATATAGTAAAATGAACCTGTGTGAACCTGTTCTGGAAGATTCTAGATGCTTCTTTTCGATGCGTCTGGATTCTTCTGAATGTTTCTGGATACATCTGGATGCGTCTTCTGGAAACTTCTGCATGCTTCTGAAACTTCTGGATACTTCCTTTATTTATTAAAAAACCTCCAGGACGTTGACACAGACCAGACTTAAGAAAATAAAACAAACCAAAAAAGTTGCACTTGTTTTGTCCGCTGAAAAATGGCACTTGTCAACGAAATTCTGCCTGTTTTCTTTTACCATTCAATCAGTCTGATTGCTCATGTCATGGCATACTATGACTCCAGACTCCTGAACTGTTTGCTGTGATAGTATAGTTTGTTTCGTTTTTAACACATGTAAAAATAGGAACACTTTTTAGCATTGTTCGATGTTGCTTGCAAATGTTTTGTCCAATACTATATATATATATATATATATATATATATATATATATATATATATATATTAGGGTGGGTCATTAAATTTTTTTTTAGAGTTGCTAACCTGGCTATAGTCTAGAAAGTTGTTTTTTTATGTACTAATTTAGGAAAGTATTTACTTTTATGGATTGAACAATGTCTTCCACCCGCAACTATAATTACAAAAAATAGCAGGCCCTATTATTATTTAAAAAAATAGTTTTTTAAAATTATGTGATGTCGGTACTCAAATAAAGCGAAATTTTATAAAAATTTTAAAAATAATAATTTTTTCATATAAAAATTATTATTTTAGATTTTATTGCATAATAACTATAGTTTTTTAACTAAAAGTGAAAAAGGTGCATTTTTACATGTTTTTTTAATACAATTTTTTCGGCAATATGATTTTTATAAAACAATTATTATTTTCGAATTTTTTATAAAATTTTGCTTCTTTTGAGTACCAGGTTGACCTACTTTTGAAAAACTTTTTTCTGCAAAATATTAGGGTACCGGTAATTTTCCCAATAAAGTTGCGGCCTTTAAATCTATCACAATTATTCTCATATTTAATAGTATCAATATTAATAACTATTAGCAATGTTTAGAGCCTGTAACAAGAAAAAAAAAATTTTAGACCCACCCTAATATATATATATATATATATATATATATATATATATATATATATATATATATATATATATATATATATATATATATATATATATACTTATAGTGTAGTCGAAAGAGTCTTTTAATGTAAAAAAAAGTCTCTTTCGACTACAATTTTAATTACCTCGTCTCTTAAGCTGTATTTGATTGTTTTCGTAATGTCAAAGCAATTAAATTAATGCTGAAGTACATTTCATTTCATGAAGTACATGAAGTACATTGAAAACAATTTTATTGTTTTTTAAAAAATTTTTAAAAAACCGCAATAATAGAAATTTTTTTTTAATTAATGGTGTCTTTGTTTTTGTTTTACTTAAAAACATTTTTAAAACATGCGTAAATGTTGCTACATCGACTATCTTATAGCCTGCTGCTACAAATAAGTGTTTCTACATCGACTATCTTATAGCCTGACTCGCAATGGAGTGCTGCTACATCGACTGACAAATAGCCTGACTCGCAAGGGAGTGCTGCTACATCGACTGACAAATACTCGCAAGGGAGTGCTGCTACATCGACTGACAAATATCCTGACTCGCAAGGGAGTGCTGCTACATAGACTGAGGGTTTGGTTTGGGCAGGCAGTCTATCATTTTAAAAAAAAGAAATTTAAGTTTTTAAACTTTTTCTGGTCTGGTTTATTAACGCGCTCTTCAAAACTACAGTTTATGGGAAACTCTTTTTGACTACCATGCAAGAGTATATATATATATATATATATATATATATATATATATATATATATATATATATATATATATATATATATATATATATATATATATATATATATATATATATATATATATATATATATATATATAAATATATAAAAGCATCTGAATAGTGACTTGGTATTATTACTTTGACTCTTTTATGTCAGTTTCTTGATTTTTTGAATAATTACATTATAGGTTGTTAATAGAAGAGGACATGGAACTGCTTCAGATTGGTGGTCATATGGTGTATTAATGGTAATGTTGTTTAAAGATTTTTTTTGCTAAAGCATTTTTTTTATATATAATAAATAAACAATTGCTTTTTTTTAAAAAAATTTGTATCACATAAATAATATATAAATTTAATAACAGTGTATAGAAATTATCTGGTTTAAATATCATAGTCTTGTTAGCCTAATAAAGCTTATACTGGTGTTATATGTTCCATAAAGTTTTTAAACTATATTTAATCCTAAGTTGACTTCTATCCCTTTGTGTTGCTAATTATTTTATAATTAGTTTTAAAGATCATACAAGTATTTTCAAAGATCATAACTCTTACATAATTATGCTATGGAACTTATACTTATAAATGATTGTGATCGGTATTATGTTTCAATAAACAAAATTGTGACCTTTGATTTGAATCACGTATGAAACAAATCTTTTTAAATGTTTTATTAAAGTTAATTTGTTACCTAATTTAAATGCAAAACGCTTTTAAATTAGGTAACAAATTACCACTAATGATTGTTTAATAAATGAACAAATGTTATCAAATTTATTAAAAAGAGTTGTATTTAATATTTTTAAATTGTATAAACATTTATTTTTTCAAAAAAGTTGCACAAAAAAAAAATTTTATTTAGTAACAAAATCTTTTTAAAATAGTAATTTTTAATAATTTCATGCTCTAATTTAATGTCTAGTTAAAAATAAGATTTTCAACTCTTTTTTTAAAAATGTGCCTGCAATTTAAATAAAATAAACAGCCAACAAGCAATTTAATTTTAATTTGAGCATTACAACTTTATTAATAAGCGCTTCACATAACGAATTTAAAAATTATAGTAAATGATTTCATTTCTATAGTAATTGGGGAAAAAAAAATCTCTTAAAAAATAAAATGTTTGTTTAAAAGGTTTTAAAAAATCGTAAGTTTAATTATAAAAATTAATCATATGAACACTACAAAATGCTTCATAATTTTTTAAAAAAAATTATAGAATTAGCGCATATAACAAAAAAAATTAAAACATTTTTTATTAATTTAATGTCTTCTTGGATTACCTTTCACTAATAACTTATCAAATTTATATATTTCCAATCCGAAAGTTAGCACCTACAACAATAACTTTTCTATAAATTCCTCTTTCTCCTTTTAAAGACTACTGCTTTCATATTTGGATGTATTTTTCTAATAATGGTTTTTGCTTTTATAACAAGGTCCTAAAACATATTGTATTTATAGTTGGAGCCTCTCTAGCTGCCTATTGTTGTTATACTGGTTTTTTTTTCTCTTCTGCTATTAATTAGTTTAAACAAGTTTTTTTTTTTTTTCCTTCAATTTTTCATTTTACTGACTAAAAGTTTTCTTTCATTTAATTACAGCATATTTTATTACCTGTGTGAAAACAAAAAAATTATTTTTATAAAAATAATTGCATTTTATATAATCTAAGATCATGCTCTACACTACTAGCATCACTCCACATTTAAATAATTTATTATTGCACTAAGGTTTTTTTGGATTATTAATGTTTATTTTTTACACCTCTTGTTATATTCCTGTATCTATTATTTAGTGTTTGTTATCAATTTTGTTGCAAATATTTTGTTATATGATTTATTTTAACAGTTGATCAAAATTTTAGTATGAAATGCTGACTGGTTCTTTACCATTCCAAGGTGCAAATAGAAAAGAAACAATGCAACAGATATTAAAGTAAAACATTTTTATACTAATTTTTTTTTAAATTAAAAATGTCTGGGTTTAATAAAAAGCTCAAACTTTTTTTAATAGAGCTAAGCTTGGAATGCCACACTTCTTAAGTCGAGAAGCCCAATTATTGTTGAGAGCGCTTTTTAAAAGAAATCCACAAAATAGATTAGGTTGTTGTTTTTTTTATATTTGTTTATATAACAATATGATCTATAAATGGCTCCAGGGGGTTTCTGTTTGCCTCTTTTTTCAGTTATAAATATTTTGTTACTTTTTATCTGATTACTTATTTATTTTTGACAAAAATTATTGACAAGTTTCAAAAATCCAGAGGCCACCCCTGATATTACCATTTAAAGAAAAAAAATCTCTTGTTAAATGGTTTTTATATATAATTTGAATAAAAATTTAGGATATAAAGATAGTTTGAATAAAAATTTAGGATATAAAGATGATTTAATAAAAATTTAGGATATAAAGATGATTTAATAAAAATTTAGGATAAAAAGATCAGGGTGGCCAGCGGTCCTTGAAATCCTGGAAAAGTCCTGTAATTTTAAAGGTCCTGGAAAAATCCTGGAAAAACATTCTTTTTTACAAAAAATCCTTGAAATCCTGGAACTTTTTTTGAAAGATTTCAGTATTTCGTTTTGATGTTTTTATCTTTTTATTTTCGATTATGTATTTTCTAGAATATTCAAAAAATATATATAAATATTTTAAATGTTACTTTCTCCATGGTAATAATATCTTAATAATATCTACTAATTATTTAGAAAATATGATACACAATTAATATATATATATATATATATATATATATATATATATATATATATATATATATCACTTATATAATGCCTAAAACAAAGAACTGCTCTTTCCAAACAGAATGGCTATACAATAAAAAGTATTCTTCTTGGATAAAATTTTGTTCTTTAAATTCAAAGAAAGCAAGATGTAATTGGTGTCAAACAGATATTAATATTTCTAACATGGGAGTATCTGCGTTAGATTCACATGCAACTGGTAAGAAGCATAAAGAGCATGCAAGGACACATAATGCAGCTGATATATTTTTTACAGGTTATTTTTTAGTTATTTATATTTATATTTAAATATATTATAAAGAATTATATTATATTTAATTAATTTAGTTTTTTAATTTTGAAAAGCTTGGAGCAAGTTGATTAGCTGGGCACTTTACAGGATATATATTTTCATGTTTCACTTTTAGATTTTACTACAGAAATATCTGGTGATAAAGCAGCTTCCAGTAATTTTCAAGAACTTTCTCCTCATTCAAACAAAGTTTTAAATGACAAAGTTACACAGCCTACTATAGATGATCTTCAATCTCCAGCTTTGGTTACTAAGGCAGAAATATTATGGACCTTAAATGTTGTAATGTCACATTTTTCTTTAAGATCATGCTTAAATTTAAATGAAATATTCAAATTTATGTTTTCTGACAGTAAAATTGCATCAAAGTTTGCATTAGGCAAAACAAAATGTGGTTACCTCATTAATTTTGGTTTGGTGCCATACTATCGAGACCAACTTATATCTGAAGTCATCGCCAATCTTGAGAGTATGAATGTAACCTTTAAAAATGAACAAATGGACTGTGGAGTTAGATACTGGGATTCAAATTCAGGTGTTGTAAAAGTTAGATATATTGATTCGAAATTCCTCAGACCCCCTAATGCACAGAATTTATTTGACAAACTCATTGAAGCAACAGAGATGTTTGATCTTGGAAAACTTATTCAAGTTTCAATGGATGGTCCTAATGTTAATTGGGAGGTTCTTAAAATGTTAAATGAGCATAGACAGGAAAAACGATATTCTGACATTGTTAATATGGGCAGTTGCAGCTGTTCATGGTGCCCTACAGACAGTAAACTCCCAAAAGTGGGAGTTGGAAAAATATTTCGTGCAATGTATAATCTTTTCAAAGAGTCACCAGCTAAAATAGATGAATTTATTAGAGTTTGTGAAACAGATCTGCTTGCTTTACCGTAAGTATGCATGCTTAAGAAGAAAAAAATTTATTATAATTCATTATATCTTTTTTTATTTATATATAAGCTAAGAGCATTTTAGCCTTTAAATTTTTGGATTTTATTGTTTTACAGTTTCTGTGCAACTCGCTGGGTAGAAGATGAAGCTGTGGCTTCTAGAGGCATTGTTGTTTGGCCAAACATGGTTAAAATTTTAAAGTATTGGGAATCATTATGCAAAAGCAAACGTCCTAAAAATAAGAGCTACGAGGTTCTGGTAGATCATCATCTACACAAGTTTGTACCTTTGCGTATGCAGTTTTTCAAAGATCTGGCTGAAAAATTGAAAGGGTTTCTAGGGCTATTTCAAACAGACAGACCTATGGTTGCATTTTTATCTAATAGTTTATAAAGTATATTGCGAAGTTTGATGAAAATGATTCTCAAACCAAACAATTTAAAAGAAGCTGCAACTGCATATAGTTTAACAAAGATTGAAGTAGGTAAATCCAATAACCAACTAGATGCAAACAAAATTGATATCGGAACAGCACTAAAACAGATGCTAAGTTCTCTTCATTGTAAACCAGAAGAGAAATTAGAATTTATAATAAAATGTAAGCAGATTATTGTAGCGTTATTGCAAAAATTACAAGAAAGATCCCCCTTGAAATATTCTTTAGTGAGGAATGCTTCATCTTTGTCTCCAAGTGAAATGGTTAAAAACAAGGAAATATCCATTCTTAAATTCAAGGCTCTTGCTGAAAGATTAAGTGCATTAAAATGGTTATCATCTGACAATGCAGATGATGCAAAACAACAATATGATGAATTTGTTAGTGCAGAATGTGTTCAATTTAACGAAAAATTTGATTCCTTCAACGAGTTAACTGATTCTGTTGATAAATTTTTTGCTGTTTATTTGCATAAAATTCCGAAGTATTCAGCACTGTGGAAAGTCTGTGTTATCGTTTTTGTGTTATCTCACGGCCAATGTGCAATAGAACGAGGATCCAGTGTTGATAAACAATTGTTGGTTGAAAATCTGCAAGAGAGATCTCTTATTTCTTAAAGAATAGTTTATGACCACATTAATTGTCATGACATTGTCATACATCAGTATGAGCTCCCTAGTGATCTTTTAAAAAGTTGTAAGTTAGCATACAATCGTTACAATATAGTATTGAAAGAAAACAAAGATCAATTAAAGGTAGATAAATTAAGCAGGAAAAGCCAATTGATTGATGGAGATATTTTAGTAATGAAAAAACAAAAAGAAAGTGTTGCAAAGTGCATTGAAATTCTTAAATCTGATGCTGATAAGTTAAGCATCGAAGCAGAAGCAAAGAGAGACTTTACTGTTCTTGCAAAAGCAAATTCTTTTAGAAGCACAATTTTAGAAAAAGAACAAGCGATTCAAGACATTGACCTTTCATTAAAAAAACTTGAGCAATCTAAAAAAAATATGAAATAAAATAGTTTATATCAAAACATACTTATGTATTTAAATATATTTATATATATTTAGTTATTTTGTTTTAAGAAAGTATATTTTGCTTTTACTAGTTATTTAATTGTCGAGAAAATAAATCCTTGAATAATCCAAAATTATCCTTGAAAATCCTGGAAATATCCTGGAATTTTAAGTTTATTTTTAACTGGCCACCCTGAAGATGATTTGAATAAAAATTTAGGATATAAAGATGATTTAATAAAAAGTTTAGGATAAAAAGATGATTTGAATAAAAATTTAGGGTATAAAGATGATTTAATTAAAATTTAAGATAAAAAGATGATTTGAATAAAAATTTAGGATATAAAGATGATTTAATAAAAAATTTAGGATAAAAAGATGATTTGAATAAAAATTTAGGGTATAAAGATAATTTAATTAAAATTTAAGATAAAAAGATGATTTGAATAAAAATTTAGGATATAAAGATGGTTTGAATAAAAATTTAGGATTTAAAGATGCTTTGAATAAAAATTTAGGATATAAAGATGATTTGAATAAAAATTTAGGATATAAAGATGATTTAAATAAAAATTTAGGATATAAAGATGGTTTAGAAGAAATCAAAGAGCAAGAATTTTTTCAATCTTTGGATTTTGAAGTAATTTTAGTTTTGAAAAATTAAATTTGTTTTATTTTGTGATGTTGTTATGATTGATTAAATTCAGTCAGTTTACATTTGTTTTCAAAATTTACTTTTTATTCCAGAAATTATACAAAAAAGAAATTGAGCCACCATTTAAACCAGCTGTTTCAAGATTAGATGACACATTTTATTTTGACAAAGAGTATACCTCTAGGGAAGCAAAAGGTTTTTTGGTTTAAATCTTTACTTTTTCTTTTTAAAAATATTATAAAAATAACTTTTAACTAAAACTAATTTCTATTCTGATTTAATTTTATTAATAATAAAGTAGAATATATATAATTATTTATTTGATTTCTTAAAAATATTATTTACAAAGTAAAACAAGATTTATTAACCATGTGAGAATTGCTCAAAGAAAGAATTAAAGAGAATAGAAGTTAGTTAGGTATATAAAAACCTTGTAAAAACTTGAAGGAGCTCATTAGACTCTCAAAAATTAACTAATATATTTAACCCTTTCATGACAACTGATCAGATAGTGACCTGAATATAGAATCTGAAACTGAAGAGGAAGTTTAACAGGAATCATTTAGTGATGTATATATATGGAATCTGATAGTGAAAAAGAATATTTTGAAATTTATATTATCAAAAACTTATAAATGTTTCACTTCCTTATTGGTTTACATTGTTTTGATAATGTTGCCTTAAATAATGATGCTTTTCATAACTTACAACCTAACTGAGGCCAAGTTAGGGTTAGGTTTCCTTGCTTTTGTGGTGGTTGGTCATACATTAACTTACTGTTAGAATGAGAACGTGTTGATGCGAGGTGAGGAAAAATCTGATGATACTTTTTAATTTTTTTCCACTGAAGTTATAAACCCTAGAATAGGAGACAGTACTCTTGACTTTTTGGTGACTTTATCAACATTTGGCGACTGTATCAACTTTTGGTGACTTTATCAACTTTTGGTGACTTTATTTATTCCAATTTAGAACATATTTTTGCTCAAAGTTACAGATTCTGCAAAGATTTTTGCAGCAATCACTTAAAAAAGGCAATAGTCTTCAAGTAACAGTTATTAAATCCTGTCACAATAGTTGAAATAAGATCCTTTTTTTTATTCTGTTTATATTAACTAATAATCCATAAACCAAGTTTGAATATGCATATTCATCAATGATCTTTGTTGTCTACATTCTGTCAACATATCACAATCCAGTGATGGTGGAAAAAGAAAAATATCCTACGAATAAGCTTTTTGTCTAATTCTTTAGTAGTGCCTGACCTAGCCCCAGCTGAATATTTAAATTTAGATGGGGCTGGGTTCTCAGGAGATAATAGATTGATGGGTAGATAGCCAGAGCTAGGAAAAAGTTTATAATAAATGGTATATTAAAAATTTATGTATATATTTACCATTTATTAAATACTGGGTAAATTCCACTTTGTCAGAGATAAAATTCATTTTTCTGAATGTTTTTTTTTTTTTTTTTTTTTTTTTTTTTTTTTTTTTTTTGAATTTATTCCAGTTACCAAATAATATAAAGTCATAACACTTTTTCAATGAAAAAGTGTTATGACTTTAAAACATTAAAATATTTATGCATTCTGTTCACTCAGGCTATAAAAATTATGATGGTGCACCAATAGATAAGCTTGGGGGGAGAAAAAAAATAATTTGAGTTGATCTGGTTTTTTATTGATTAAATAATAAGTTTGGTGTCATATGTAAAGCGATGTCTGACTTATAAAAGGATTTGGGATGCTAGAAAATTAAATACACAAAATGTTGTAGCAGAAGTGAGATCCTTTTCAAACTCAAATGCCCTCTCCAAACAATCAGAGAGAGTTGGCTTATCAAGACAATAATAAATGGTAGTATCATTAGCAAGTAATTTTGTCTTAGAAGTGAAAATTTGTGGAAGATTTAATGTAAATTTAATTTTAAATTTAAAAAAGTATAGGGTTAAGAAACCCCTAAAGTTACAGGAAATTAAGAAGATTGCTGTCCATCAAGGACAACTTTTATACTACAATCAGTAAGAAAGAATTCAATTATCTTTAAAATGTTACATGGTACATACATTGTAAGAAAAGAGCTTATGGTGAAGACTGCCATGCTAAACTTTATCAAAGGCTTTAGAAATCTTGATAGCCTTGACCTCTCAACATCTAATGAACGATAAAACCTTTGAGTTATAAAGTTAACAAATCAGCAGTAGAACGAGAAGATCGAAATCCATATTAATGATCAGAAAGTAAGTTATTAAATTCATGATAAGAAATTAAGTATTTGTGAATTAAAGACTAAAAAATCTTGCTTATGATAATAAGAAGACTTATAGGGCTTAGTTACACAGATTATCTGACTGAAGTCAGATTGCTCTCCAGAATTTTCGTTACTTTACATAAAAGATGTAAAAAATTATTGCTTAATTTTATAAAAAAAAATTGTGATATAAATTATAATATAAATATAAAGTTTAGAAATTATTTAGTCTGAACGTAATTTATAATTAATTTTTTTTATTGTTAAGAAGTTATTAGGGGTGCACCGACGCATTGGTACACCCCTTGAAGTTGTCTTTTTTTAGTTAATTTTTCTAGTAATTGTCTCCAATCAGTCAAATTTTTTTGTGTGTGCATTTTTAAAATGTTCTCAAAACAACTAAAAAGTTGTGGCCAAGTTCTTGCTAGTAATTATTATATGCATTGCCAGATATAGAGTTTGATCACACTAGCTTTCTGACCAAGCTTGGTCTTGATTATAATCTGAACAGATTATATTAAACAATACTGAAATAAAATAAATTAATTTAGTGCCTAATAAGCAAAGTAATAAAACCTTAAAATACAAACAACTACATAATTTCATTTTTATTTTTCTTCCTCTTTTCAAAAAAGAAATTTATTTAAAAGTATTAGTTTATATTATTCCCATCAGCTGTTCAGAGTGTTTTTATGTGTTGCTATATTGAAAGATAACCTAAAGGCAAATTATTAATTTATTTAAGTGTTAAAAGTTACATTACCAAACCCTAAGAAGTTAGTAACCTTAATAAAAAAAAATTGTAAAATGTTTGTATGACTTGTTGTTAATTGGTTGTTATGGCAAACAAATACATTAGGGTTTAGACATAAGTGTCAGGCTAAATAATATTTTACATCTGACACCTTTTTAAAAAATATTGTAAACAATATATATTTGTTTTTAACACATGTTGTTAATATAAAGTAAAAAAAATCTAGTTTGAAAACCAAAGTTTCATGTATTTAAAAATAATTTTGTGAATTTTTATTATCAGATGTAAAATTAAAAGTATACAATAATCTTAAGACCTCCAAACTTTTTTTGTTTTTAGTTTTTTTTTTTTCATGTCCAAAAGTTAGCTTTATAATGTTAATAAAGTTAGCTTATTTTATATTAGTTTGAACTATAATAGTTTTACTTTTAAAATCTTTATAGTAAGATAGGTCCCACAAAAGTTGTTGTGTTTGCTATGTAAAAGTAAGACTGACTTCCAAAGAACACGCCTGACTGACTGCCAAAAGACACCCCTAAAAAACCATTTTTGTAAGTAATTTCTGTCCATTATAACCCACAACTTGATGAGCGTTTTCAAATATGCCATACCATTTTGGACTATTCCTAAAAGGATGTGTTTTGTTTTGTTTTGTATTACTCATACATAAAATTTTTTCACATTTTAAAATATGGAACTTTTTATTTTCTCAAAAATAGGAAAATTCCCTGTTTTTGGGTGCCATTAAATATATTTTGGTTTAATTATATATTTCATTTATTAAATCACCTAGATGAAAAAAAGTTTTTATTTTTTTTTTATACTCTTGCAATTGTTATTTTGCATGATACTACTGTACAAGCTGTTTACTGTACAAGTTTTTAACTCAATCGTTAAAGAGTTAAACTGAACAATTTACAATATAATTTTTCAAAATTTAAATAATATGTTAAATAATAATTTGATAAGAATTTTTTCCTCAGAAATACTTAAATAAAGAATTTTTAAAAAAAATGCCAAACAACAACGCTACTGTGTTGATAATTGGTGTTGAAAATTTGTTTTCACTAAATGATATTTTCAAGAATTTTTCTTATATTTTTTTGAAAGAACAAATTATGTTGTTGTTATCTTTAAATAATTTCTATTTAAATGTTTTATATGATATTTTTAGCTAGCATGCCATTTATAACTTAATACAAATTCAGATTGGTTAAAGGTGTTGAGTGGTATTCCACTAAGTTCTGTAATTGGGCCATTAATGTTCTTGTTATATATCAATGATTGACCTTTTAAAACTAAAAATAAATCTTTATGAAGATGTTAAGACTCACAATTCTTCCAAAATAATATTGATTATCTAACTGATTAGTATGACAAATGGATGATAAATTTTAACATCAAAAAATGTAAAATCTTTCAATTTGGAAAATATAATAAGAATTAGAAAGTCTTCAACATTGAGCAACTAAATTGATTCCAGAGTTTAAGCATCTATAAAAAAAATTAAAAAAAAACCTTTTTACCTTTAAAATCTGAAGAGTAAGAGGTGATTCAACAACAACAAATTTTCCATCAATTCGATAATGTATTTTGATATGGTCTGTAAATATTAGGATCATAAAATAAAATTTAATTACTGTATTTATAAAAACCATTAAAGCAAGGGAAATTTTTCAGACAGAAATGGTGGAACAAACAGAAGAAATCATTCTCAAAAAAATTGTTTAAATTTAAAAATCAATCTTGATAAACAAATAAATAATAAAAGGTATTAATCTATAACATTATGAAAAATAGGTTTAACATGGTGTTGAATCAAAAAGAGCATAATAATAAAAAAGTTTAAAAAATTAGCTGTTAAAAAATTTATTTGATTTTTTGAGTTTAAATTTAAATTCAGAGTGTAATCAGTGTGATTTTTGGTATATTTTTGATAACTAAAACAGTCGATTAAAAAGTTAAAAAATAGTGAAGATTACATCAACATGTTTAAAGTGAAAAACGCAACAAATTGCAGGCTTAATATTGTTCTATACAATATTAACATGTGATAACTAAAAATCTAGACAAAGTTTGAGTAAATATTAAAATATGAAGGAATAATTTAATATACTTGCAATAACTTCTACTTTTTTACAAATTTAATTCTTTAAATGTATTTAAAAAAAAAAAATTTTTTTAGTAATAATTAGAAATGAAAAAAAGACTAGTACCGAAGACTCTTTAAGAAAACGAGTGTACTCTTTTTGGATTTGCATTTAGATAAGAATAAAAGCTTTATTGTAAATCATTTTTCAATGGAGAACATACCAAAATCTACTATTTATAATATACTTTAAAGAAAGGAGAATAATATAGGACCAGAAAGAAAAGTTTGAAGTGGTCGCAAAGCAAAAATGGTGTCTGCAAAAGAAATAAAGCGTCTTAAAAAATAGATTAATCAAAAGGATGGTATTTTACAGCGTGGTCTTAAAAAATAGATTAATCAAAAGGATGGTATTTTACAGCAAAACGATTCCATGTATCACAACCATGCATATGCAATTATTCACAAAAAAATTAGTATTTGTTATCTTAAAAAAACTAAAACACCTAAAAAAACACCAACTTAAAAAGCAGCAGTTTGTTCAAAGTGCTATAGATTGGTTTTGATTTTTAGGAAAAATATACACATCTTCATTGACTGCTTGGCCTGCTCCGTCAGGCCAAGTAGTCAATGACGATGCATATATTGTTAGATTTGAGAAATTCATTAAAAAACATCATAAAAACAAAAATATTGTCTTTTGACCTGATCTAGCGTCTCATTATTCGTGTAAAGTGCAATGTTATCTAAAAGCTAAAAATATTGAATTTGTACCGAAAGAGCATAATCCTGCTAATGTGCCAGAATTAAGTCCAATTAAAGATTTTTGGTCTGAACTTAAGAGATTAGTGTATAATAAAAACTGGCAAGCTGAAAATCTTGGCAAACTTGATTTTCTTAGTTTTCAATTAAGAAAATCAACATAAAATGTGTACATCGGCTAGCTGCCGCAACATTTACAAGAATAGACACCGTTTGTTGTCATGGCATGAAAAACTTATAAATTTTTTTAATTTTTTTATTTAGATATTTTTTATTATACTTTTTAAATTATTAAAATTGGTCATTCCAACAATGAAAAAATGTCAACAATATAGTAATTATGGACTTAGATATTTCAAGAGCACTTGTCTTGCTGCTTCTATTTAATGCATGAAAGCCCTTTCTATTATAGTGGTTAACTAATTGACAGTAGAACAAGCTAATTAAAATTTGCATTGATAGTCATAAAAAAATTAAAATCTATATTGTTGCTTGTTAGAATCAAGAACATTAAAAAAGAAAATTAAAATCTGTATTGATATTAATAGAGAAAGTTGTTAGGCTCAAGATGAGATATTAGAAGTTTGTTAAATAGGGGTTCAAATGCTTTAATAATAATAGTTAAAAGACTGATTAGGCAATAGTTGGGGTGGCCATGGAAAGGTTATGGGAATCATAAAAACTTCATGGAATTTAATTTATTCTTGGAAAAAGTCATATAATTTCTAATATTTATTAAAAGTCAAGTAAAATTTATGGACTTTTTAAAAAAATCTTTATTTTTTTTTCACTAGTGATATTTAAAAGATTTTTGCAAAAAAAATGTCTTATCTGAGACATAAACAAGATATATGGCAGATTTTAATGTATATGCATCAAACCATGTTTAATTACCTATAAATTATATTCCTATAATTTATGTCACTTATCACTTTAAATTATTAAGGAACTATCTATTTTGATTAGTAAGGAGCTATCATCTCTAATTCCATTAACTAAAACTCATTTTCACTTGACTCATCATTCAGCTAAGTCTCATTATTTTTTCTGTTTCTGTTCCTACATGCTCCAAAAAACTTATATTTGTCTAGTTTTTTTTTTCCCCCACACTTCAACTCTTTGGAACTCTTTCCCGTCTTCATGTTTTCTTGATTCAAAAAACTTCAACTTTTCAAGTCTTTTGTCAACTGTTTCCTTGCTCTATAACTCTATTCTTTTTTTTTCTAGTAACTCCCAACTTAATAGTGGTTGCTTGCAGCACTATTAATATATATAGCAGTGAATCAGAATTTAAAAAATCTTGTTTTTCGTGTTCCTTTTTTTTTTTTTTTTTTTTTTTTTTTTTTTTTTTGTATATAATTTCATTTGTTGTTGTTTATTTAATTTACTTTTTCTTAAATTTTAGAATTTATAAAATTGTTTTTAAGATTCCCCAGCTGTCCCACCTAGTGCGGGTGCTAATCAATTGTTTCGTGGGTTCAGCTATGTTGCACCTTCAGTATTGAGTTCAGGACTCGAAGTGAGTTACATTTTTTGTTTACCTATTTTGACAATAATATAAACATATTTGTAAAATCAAACAATGTTTAAAATAAATTATATTGGGTGATATGATTTCTGTTGCTTATTATAACAGGGAGGCTTTCAAGGTATAGAAGAAGGAATGGAGTTTACTGATTCTTCCAATGGAAGTGTCCAATCTAATGGCGATGTACCCTCTGATCGATATGACACATCTATTTATGACCAGTATGATATTAGAGAGGTGAAAACTTAAAAAATAGAAAATATTGAAACTTTTTATGTTATTTTTTTTTATTATTTTCATTTATTTATATATTTTTTGTAATAGAAAATAATTGAATTTCACTAGGAAATAGGTATGGGAGCTTTTTCAGTTTGTAAACAATGTTTTCATAAAGCAAGTGGGTGTGAGTTTGCAGTCAAGATTGTTGATCAAAGTAAAAGAGATCCAACTGAAGAAGTTCAGGTTTTCTATTTTATAAGATTTAAAACAATATTGTATTAATTTATGAATAGACTATAATGAAATAAAATTATAGTAATGAAAATAAATGAAAACGAAATGTATTTCAAGCTACAGAGAGTCTTAAGTAACTTTAGGAAATTAGTATTGGTATCTATGAGTAAGCAAATAATGTTTTCATCAACCAGATATAGTATAAATAATAAATAATATATATAATATATGAAAATATGTTTTCATTAACCAAATAGTGATAAGTAATTTGTAAAATTTTCTGTTCTTATCTATGATTTCTAACGATTTGAGGTTATAAAACCTTTAAAAAAGTAATTTTTATGTTAATTTTTTTTTTTTTTTAAAAGAATTTGAAAGGTTTTGAAAAACTTAATGTTTAATGTGGTTGTGGGTTTTGGTGTTTTATCAAGTTAAATTTGCTCTTTTTGAATGATTTTTATTAAATCAATTCAGATAATTTCAATTTTCAATTCAGTTTTATTTCAGTTTTAATTCATTTCAATTTTATTTTTCAGGAATTATTAGAAAATATTGATAACTTTAGTTAAATTATAACCACTTGGCTTAAGTTAAACAAATTTTTATGAAATTTACAAAATAATATTCCATAACTTCTAAAACTAAAAAGAAAAAGTAAGATAGTATTAAAAAATATATAATTAATAAGCTATTACTTAAAAGAAAGAAAAAAAAGTTGTAAAACTTATAAAAAATTTAAAGTACCAATAACAATTAATCTAATTTTGAATATTATCCTGATATTTTTTACTTCTATGTTTTATTTTTAGCAATTTGACCTTTCGTAAAATTGATTTTCTTTAAAATGTAAAGTATAAGTAATACTCTAGGGTATTTATTTTATTGTATTAGGAATTTTTTTTAAAGTATGGTTAATACTAATTTTATAATAATAAGAATTTAAACAAATTTAAATTCTTACATTATAATAATAGTAATAATTATAATTTTTATTCGTGTACATGGTTTTAATAAATTCATGGTAGATTTTAAAATTATAGATATTGCTTCGATATGGACAACATCCAAACATATGTACTCTGCGTGATGTTTTTGATGACGGAAAGTATACATATATGGTAATGGAGAGGTGTCGTGGAGGAGAACTTCTAGAAAAAATTTACAAGCAAAAGTATTTATCTGAAAAAGAAACTGCATATATTATGGATGTACTTGCTAAAACCATAGATTATCTACACCAGCAAGGAGTAAAATTTTTTTTTTTAATTTTGCAAATAAGTTTTGAATATTAGTATTATTTAATTTATTATTGTTTTTACATTGTTTTACCATAATTATAGGTTGTCCATCGTGACTTACAACCAAGTAACATTTTATTTGCTGACGAACTACGCAATCCAGATAGTATAAGAATTGTTGATTTCGGTTTTGCAAAACAAATGAGAGCAGAGAATGGTCTTCTAATGACACCTTGTTACACAGCTAATTTTGTTGCTCCTGAGGTATGACAGAAGAGCAACTGTTTAAAATTCTTTATATTTTCAATATTTTTTTATGAGTTAGTATTTGCTGAGCAAATACTAACTCAAAGTAAACTCTATTCAAATAAGATATTAAATGTGATTTATTGATTGATTGAAGTAGAATGCTCTGGTTGTTAAGAACACAATAACAAAACAAAAATAAAAATGTATTCCATGGTTTCATAAGTATTAAGTACGAGATGTCCTATCAGCATCTTTTTTTTTTTTTTTTATAAGCATTTTTACTGTTTTTTTTTTATAGAAATATTTTTCAATCCGACTAATTAATTTTTCTAATTGAATTAAAGTTGATATCCAAATGTTTGCTTTTACTGAATTTAGGCTGTGATATTTTAGCTCTCCGAATTAGGAAAAAATGCATTAAATTGTTAAACCTAAACTGTAAGATCTGTATCAGGTCAATAAAATAAAATTGACACAAAGGGGTTACCATAAAACAAATGTAAACAATTTTTTGCCGACCTCAAACACTTTTTTTGTTTTTGTAATTCACCTGCTCAAGACCGAGAAGGCCACTATAAATGAGGAGGCTACTTGTGGTTATAACTAGGGCTGTACCGAATTTTGGCTCTTGCTCCAGCCGAAATCCGACCATCTTTACAAATCCGACCCAAATCTGGCATAATTTTAACCAGATTTGAATTTTGGTCAGATATTTATTATTTTGGTCAGATATTATTATCTTTCTTGCCTGTGATAACTTGTATACTTAATATTTGATTTTTACAAATCAATGTTTTTAGTAATTCTATAGTCTATGAACTTCATGTTTGTTTTGGTATCTGTTTTTACATTTCTTTACAATTTAATTAGCTAAGCCTAATTTCAAGCAACAACGCAACAAAAAATTCTGAAGAGAAGATATGATATTCTGCAATAATGCAGGTGTAAAGACTATGAAGTCAATCCTAATCAAGTCATTGGATGAGCGTTTTAAAGACATCAAGGAGAAACCTTTTTATATAGTGGTGACACTGGTTGATCCATAATTTCAAACTAAACTCTACTCATTACAGGCAACACTGACAGGTGAAAAAGCAAGATTGAAATCAATGAGCATTCTGAGCAGCAGATTGACAAAACTAAAGAAAATCCAGCAAAACAATCCCGGCTTAAAAAAATTCTTATACATTATCATCATTACAATGTTAATATATATAGATGAAATTATTCAGTCTACGCCCACTTGTGGCACATCACATGAACAATAATTACCAACAGGCATTGACACTCAGCTAAGCCAATATCTGGAAAAATCAGAAATATATAGACACGCTGATTCACTACAGTGGCGGAGTGACAACATCTCGGAAAAAAAGTTCTATAGAATTTCTCTAAATTTTTAAAACATATGACCTATAGAAACTCTATAGAATTTAAAATGTCTATTAATTTCTATAGAAATTGCTATAAAACTTTTAAACAACAAAAATATTAATGAAAAAAAAAAATTGTGAATAGAAAACAACTGTCACTTGGTGATCTAAATAGTCAACATTTTGATCATTTTCAGAACCAAGTAGGGATGTACAGGATTTTGGTTTCTGTAGTTTTGCTTCGAAATCCGTCTCCGATTCTGGCCAGATTTGGAAAAATTAAATCTGGTACAGCCCTAGTTATAACCCTCTCTCAACTCTATAACTCTGAAATACAAACCTTGACAAATAAGGCCGCTGCGCTGAGAAACTAGAGTGCAGTATTACCAAGGACGTGGTGGTAACCGAACACAGAACCTCTCCCTTATGAAGCGAGCGCTCTACCACTACACCACTACCGCATTTTAAGGTCGACATTGCCAAATGCCTACCCTAATTCCGAGGGCTGGTTGTTGCCAATAATAATTTAAAAAGTGATTGTCAAAAATGTATGGGGTTCGTTGGGAAATAGATAAAGAAATAGTCTAATTTTTAATTTTAAAATAGTTTAATTTAAATTTATTCTTAGAAACTTAAATTAAAAAGAAATATTGTTAATAACCAAGAAACCCAAGTTAATGTTTTGGTATTTTAATTTGAATAAAAATTTTAAACACTACCAATAAATAAATGCTACCAATAATTTAATAAATAATTTAATGAAATTAATTTTATATATTCAGGGTACCTAATTAGTCATGAATTGTTTTATATAATTTAATAATTATTAATTTTATAACTATATAACTTCAGGGCGCAACAAATTGCTTCTTTTTTTTTAATGAATATCAATGTTAGTATCTTTATTTTTTAGCAAATGTTTAATTAAAGATATATATATATATATATATATATATATATATATATATATATATATATATATATATATATATATATATATATATATATATATATATATATATATATATATATGTATATATATATATATATATATATATCTTTTAAGCTATATATAATCTATATAATTTAAAATATATATATCTTAAATAAAAAACGTTAAAAAAATATTAATAATATTTACCAATAAATATGACATAAGTCAAATATGGGAGTTTTGTTTTCAGATAATTTTTATTCTAGTCAATAAGTTATTAGATTTATCAAAGATGCTTATTAAATTTAATTTTTTATGCATTTGCAAAGTGTGCGCAATATAATTGAGCAAATAATTATTATGCAAAGATCAACTTTTACCCATTAATACTAAATATTGAATTTTTCTCGTTAAATTTATTAGACTAAACCATTGAATTTTACTCAGTAATTGGTCAGCTTTACGTAAATAATAACTCTACGAATTTTGCTCAAATTTTTAATTGCGTACTGAGCGAATAGATTTTTGGGGTAAATTGCTTAATTTTAGCTGAATAAAAATTTGAACAATTTTGCTCAAACATTTGCTTATGTATATCTGAACAATTACTCCAAAAACACAAAAAGCAATGAATTTTTTATTTACCCGGCCTATTACACAATGTAACAAAACAAAAATTTCTCTGTTTATTGTTATCGAAATTTTCATTATAAAATATAAAATTATAAGTAATTATATTTTGATAATTATTATTATTAATTTTAAATAAATAATTATAAATATATTATAAATATAAAAATAAAATTTTTCTCTGTTTATTGTTATTTATATTTTTAGATGTTTCTCGTTTAATTTGAGTATGCTGAGTCTGAATATGACATTCGTTTTTTTTAATGCATTAACCATTTAATCATAAAACCAAAAATTCAATTAAACATAATATTAATCATATTACATGAGATACAACTTTAGTCAATATATAACATTTACTAGTTCATAAATGTTATGTTATGTGACAAAACATCATGTTACATCACGTTACGTATGTTACATAATGCTACATTATGTTCTAATGAAATAGTCTCTCAAAATCTCAAAAAATACTAGAAGTGAACAGTAAAATGTGGTTTTCTTTTATAAAGTTTGTCATCATCGCGTATCAAACACCAGATGTAGTTACCCATCATAGCTGCATCCCATCTGCCCTGGTATCTTTTCTCCATTGTATGGATATCCTGATGAAAAGGTTCTCCGTGCTCTTCACTCACATCACCCAAATTTGTTCTGAAAAGTGTTAATGCTGGTAATGTAGCTTTATTGACATTCTACATTTTATATCTGTGTACCTTACAAATTTTCCACTAGTTCTTTGCAGTTATCACTCTTATTGTTGCCTAAAAAACTATGAATAACATGTCTAAACACAATCCATGCTTCTTTTTCAACAGCAAACATCTTGTACTCCAGCTCCTTACATGCCATCATAACTTTAATCTGCGGACTAACGAATACACCTGCTAAAGTTTTTGCATCTGACACCTTTGGAAACATCTGCCGAATATGCTGCAATGCTGCACTCTCTGGGTTTAATGCTTTGACAAATTTTTTGACAAGACCCAAATGTGAAGGAGTGGGAGTAAGATCTTCTCAACAGGTATCTCAGGGATTGATTAATACTATCCTATAAACAAAGAAAACATGAGTACTTTGTGTATCTTCTTTGTAGACTGAGAAGAAAACGCTAGTACCTTAAAGTCTCTACATACATCCCACTTGTAACAGTCGTAGTTGATTTTCTCAAGCAACAACTTCACGATTTTTTAGTCTGATTTTAGATAAACAGAATGAGCTGCTGGAGTCGAAAGAAATCGGCTCAGCGGAAGTAAAATTAATAAGTTAAAATTGACATATATATATATATATATATATATATATATATATATATATATATATATATATATATATATATATATATATATATATATATATATATATATATATAATATTATAAATGCATTACACATATACAAAAACTACGAAATATACTTTATGCTTTTTCTCAGGAAATGATAGAGCAAAACCAATGGTACCACTGAAATCAGCATACCAAAATTATGTTAGAAACATTAAAAAATTAACATGAACATAAATATTGTTACAAAAATTAACATGAACAAAAATGTTGTTGCATTGAAACCATGCTAAAACATTATTACTTTCTTCAATAGCATACTTAGTTATTTTACTTAAAGTAGTGCTACATTTTAGGAAAAATGTAATTATGTTTTAGCATGTTTTTTTTTAAATTTAAAATGCGTTTTAAATTTGAGTAACTAATTGTTTTAATAATAAATAAAAAATATCAATCGCATAATTATTTGGAAAATAAATTGCGGTAATTTACTTGCGGTAAGTATTTTTTTTTTTTTTTTTTTTTTTTTTTTTTCATTTTAAGTGATTGCCAATGTTTGCTTAAGCAAAAGTAAAAAAATGTGACGTTTGTTATTCTGTCTTTTTTTTAACAAACATTTGCACATTTATCGATTTGTCACGCTCTGAACTTTATGTTAATAGTTTCTTTTAACTTAAAATACTGTGTTGCTTGATAATTTATACAGATTTTTTTTTTTTTTTTTGTAATGATTAGGTATTAAAGAAACAAGGGTATGATGCTGCTTGTGATATTTGGTCTTTAGGTGTTTTAATGTATACTATGCTATCTGGGTAAGATTTAATTTTCATTTTATTATTTAGGTGAGTTTTAATTTTACAGCAAATATTTCTTTAGTTATTTATTTATAAAATTTTTTTCAGGCGTACACCTTTTGCTGCTGGACCTGAAGATACACCTGCAATGATTTTAACTAGAATTGGTCAAGGAAATATTGTATTAAATGGAGGTTCATGGGATAATGTTACTGATTCAGCTAAGGTTATTTTATATTGTAAATAATAATTAGTAAAATAATAATGATAAAAATTAATTATATTATTATTATTAATAATTATATTATATATAAATAAAAAATAATTATATTTATATAATAAATATATTATGTAAATTAATAGTAAGAATAATAAATAATTATTATTAAAACAACTGATAAAAGTTTTTTAGTTAATTAAGAGTTATTATTTTATATTTTACTTCTAATTATTTATTAATTCCACCCATTTTGCAAATAAAATGAAACAATCCACTATTTATTTATATACTTGCATATTACATGCATATGTGTGTGTTTACATATGTTTATATATATATATATATATATATATATATATATATATATATATATATATATATATATATATATATATGTATGTATGTATATATATGTATATATATATCTATATATATATATATATATATATATATATATATATATATATATATATATATATATATATATATATATATATATATATATATATATATATATATATATATATATATATATCTGTGTGTGCATTACAATTAATTTACAATTATTTGGATCTTCCAAGTATGAATCAAGATTTTTAGGAATTGATCTCTGATACAAAACTTATTATTATCTTATAGATAATTTTTAGGGCAAAATAACTTTGAATTACTCTAATATAATCCAAGATAGATTTCAGTATATAGAACATAAAAATGTAATCAATTCAAATTTTTTTTTTTTTTTCCTTCTTGTTATAAAATGTTAATAAAAAAATAAAAGATGAATATTTTGTTAACTTTTTATGGATAAAAACTTATAACCCTCTTGTTATGAAATTACGGAAAAAGAAACAAAATAAAATTTCACTATTTATAAATCTAAGGGAAATACCATTCAGCATCATAAATGTAGGTCACATATGTATAGGCCTATCGAAAATGCCTGCCTCAGTACTCATTAAAAATATATAATTTATAGCATGTCCACTATTTCATCTGCTAAAGATGCACACTGTTAAATGCCCAGCAAAAAAAGACACATTATAATGGCACTGAAATTGCAGACATGCATATGTACTTGCGCACTAATATAGATAATTATATCTTACTTCCTCCAGGTTTTGAAAGAGTTTTGTCCAAGAGATAATTTATTAAACAAGTTGGAGAAGTTCTGATTGTTTAAAGGAAAAAATTCTACATAAAAATAATAATAATAATCATAGAGAATTAAGAAGTGGTTAATCTGAAATTCGAGATTTTCTGAATGTTATTGATAATGGGTTTAGAAATTCTAATGTTGATAAAGATCTTTTACATTATAAGTTAATATTTATAAAATATAAAATAATGTGTTATTGTTATATTAATTATAAGTTAATATTGCTAAATTCTATATTTGATAACTTTAAAAATGAATGAAATGAATTTTAAAGTTATCAAATGACAGGTTATCATTACTTGATAATGCTACCCAGGCACCCTGGTACAGTGACACTAATTTGGATTTCTGGTTGCTGGGAATAAATATATTGCTTAACAACCAGATACTTTCCTTAGTTACATTCTTTTCAATTTTTTCATGATCATGAATATGTTCTTAAAAAGTGTGATCTTGCCTTCTGTACCAGGGTGCCCAGGTACCTGTCAACAGCTTTACAAATGTTACTATTGCATAACCTTAAATTTAATTATTATCAACTCGCCAAGTAAAAACATCCACATTAGTGCAAATATCCTCAAGTAAAACTCATTTTTAATGATATAAAACTGTGGTGGTTTTATGTACCAGGTATTGTAAAAGATGCATGGTGTTTTTCTCCAAAATTGAACTTTCTAATATGTGCTTCTATAGAAACTTTGTCAACATAAATGGACATAAATGAATGTTATTTCTTTGATGTGTTAAACACACCATATGTACCTTTGCCTTGATAAGTCAATAGGGTTAAGTGAAAAAGATTAACTTATGCAATTAGAAGCAATAAATCATTAGTTTTGTTAAATTTCTGTAATTGGCTTTTCCTAGAGTTTTCTGCAATACTTAAATATACATCGTTTAATGTAAAGCTGTCAACATAATTGTGTTGTTTTTTTTAGGATTTTATTTTCTTTTGTTTCTCTATGTTTGCAATGCAATCTTTTTATGCTACTAGTGCAGATATTTGACCAGCAATTAAGCTAAGTTTGTAAAAGAAAAGTTAAGAATTACTAAATTAAAAATTACTAATATTATTTATTATACCAATAGGGTTAAGTAGTAAAACCTTTTTTTTTTTCTTCCTTAAGTCTTTTTACTATATTCAAATATTTTTGGTGATGGTCATTACACTGAATGGCTTGCCTCTATAACGATTGACTCTATTAGATGAAAGTGGTGAAGCAAAGGATGTTGCTTGATCTAAGAATTACAATAAAACCTACTTTGTTTAACTTCTATTGAACGGTTTACCAATAAAACAACGAGAGTGCTCAGCCAAGCCACTTATTTTAAGATCTAAAAAATAACAATCTCTATTTGCTTTAATAAATAAAGTATTCTTTAGATTTACATACATTTTATTTGACCATTGGCAAGATTAAGAATAACATGGTTATTCTTAATTTTGCAGTGGCCAATAAATATTTAAAATTCCATATTAAATTAAAGTCATTACTTTTTAAATTAATGACAAAATCAATAAAAATTTATAACTTAATTGTAAGTTTAAATTATAACAATTTTTTGAAAAAAGTTTATTTAATTTTAAATTTAAAAATAAAAATAAAAAATATATTTTATCAAACTTTCCTTTGTTTATATTTTGTGGGTTTACATGTATATGTATAACTGCATGAAAATTAAAAATATTAGTTTTTTTTTATCTTTTTTAGAATTTACTTCGAAAAATGCTTTATGTTGATCCTTCACAACGACTTTCAGCTGCACAAGTATTTTAACTTTTTTTGAAATTTGTAAACTAAATGTTTATATAAACTTTTTCAGCTGCTAAAAATTTGTAATGTATCTGTGTAAATACTATTATTTTATAACAGCAAAATTTTTAAACAAAACTGGTCAACAGTTGATGACCAGTTGTAGTATGTTCATCCTCTTTATTGGAACGCAGTTTTTTTATTAGTTCTATAAGTTTTTTCTAATAAAATTTTTTCATTACTAAAACGTTTTATTGTGGTGTTCGTATATTTCCTATTTCAAAACTTTGAGGTACCTATAATAATGGGTTCGATGTGTTTACTTAATACTGGAAAAGTGTGTTGTTTCAGAAAAAAAAATTTTAGTAAAAATTTATTGGTGTTATGAGTTTAATGTTAAATTATTTAGAAAATGTGAGTGCAGCATACTCATATGTTATTACTATGGTTATTTTGAATTATATAATTTCTTAATTATTTAATGCAGGTGCTTCAACATCCATGGCTTCGTTTTAAATCCTCAATTCCTGATCGCAAGATGACATTAAATGAAACTGCATCAAGAATCAAAGAAGCAGTTAAAAACACTTTTAGCGCAGTCCATAAAGCTCCAGATACCAAACCTCTATCAGGTAGTTTTTTATAGCTTGACTCAGTTTGTAAATAAAGGCTGAAAAAGTTTTGTAATTTAATGTTTTAATATTTAAAATTTAGTTAAATTTTGGTTTAAGTTGCATAAATATGGTTAAGAATAAGTTTCAATAAATACAGTATATATAATCTCTATGTATCATTATATTTTTAGATATATCATTAATAATTACTAATAAATTAATTTAATTGACTTTTTTTGTAGTAACTTATTTTTATTAACATTAACTCGTTTGTTGTAGGGATGAAATATTTAAAATTGTGTCTAAACATATGTACTCTAATAGCATGAAGCATCTGTAAAGTACCTATTTGCTTAAGAAATTTATTAAAAAACTGACAGGGCAACATTTTTTCAAAAGTATTTATTAAGCTAGCATAGTTAGTGTATTTTTAGAGTAATTATCAATGTTGGCAATAACTAGCAGGATTACAAGACAAAACTTCGAGTAAGTGTAACTTCAACAGAAGGCAAGATCACACTTTTTAAGAACATTTTCATGATCATGAAGAAATTGAAAAGAATTTAACTAAGGAAAGTATCTGGTTGTTAAGCAATATATTTATTCCCAGCAACCAGAAATCCAAATTAATGTCACTGTTTAAACTAGTATCAAAATAAAATATAAAATTTTTTCGTAAAAAATTAAAGATAAAAAGTACTACAATTAAGTTCATAATAATAAATAAAACATTTATCCAACAGAGTTGTTTTCAAAATTTTCCAATATTTTAATAAATTAGATAATTTTGCAGTTGATTTAGATTTTTTGATAGTAAATATGTACTTATTGTCCAATGTATTTATACTAAATGTACAGCTTTTAAATCTTTTATGGCTCATCGCGCTCTGGACGAAATCAATTTTATGTATTGTCTTCTAAGTTATCTTCAATTCCGTTCTTTTTATATTTGCCATATTTTGTATCATGCACCTATTTCGAATCTTGATTGTTATTATTTGCATTTACCGAGCTAGTTTTAAAAGCTTTGAGGCTGTTGAAGGTTCGCTAATGTTTCACTTGAATTTTTTCTGCAATTGTTTTTGAAGTTTTAAGGGGTGGATGTGGATATTGTTTTTACAGTTTAGAAGGGTGAATGTAGATATTATTTTTACAGTTTAGAAGGCTGGATGTGGATATTGTTTTTACAGTTTAGAGGGCCGGATGTGGATATTTTTTTTACAGTTTAGAAGGGTGGATGTGGATATTATTTTTACAGTTTAGAAGGGTGGATGTGGATATTGTTTTTACAGTTGAGAAAGGTGGATATGGATATTATTTTTACAGTTTAGAAGGGTAGATGTGGATAGTTTTTTTCTACTATTCGTCTTGTTTTTTATGGCATTTTGACGATTTTATTGAAAACATTACGACGACCAAAGTACAATACGTCATTACAACGTACATCATAGTCTACCAGTTTCTTTTATGCGTTTAAATGTGAAGTAACAATTTTAAGTTATCACTATATATTGTTTTGTCCTGGTTCAACTCATTATCATGTACATGTGTTCCAAAAAAACATAAAATTTCGTCCTTATTAATTTCTTAACTGTTATTTTTTTTTATCAAGGTTGGACAGAAAACAAAGAAAAGTTTTACTTTAGTTTATTTAAACATTTTTTATTTTAAAAAAATAACAGTAGTAATAAAATAATCAGTATTTTTTATTATTACTGTTATTTCTTGTTCTTCAAATCTACCTTCCCCAAAAAAGTAAGGTCTGGAATCAAGAATGGATGTACTTTTGTTTTTTCATTTTTTATAAACCGTTAGCACTATAGATAATACAATCATTATAATGGTAATTTTTGTTTTTCTAGGTGTTCAGTCTTCAGGTCTTCACCAAAGGCGGGCTGGTAAGGGAAAGTTGCCTTGGGGTCATAAGAAGTAAAATAATAGGATTTATTAGAAATATGAATTAATCACTGAGCTTCATAACGAAATAGATAAGTGAACCGTTTTGATCTATTTGTCATAATAGAGTCGCAAACTATGTAGTTAACTCCGTTATTTGTCTTTTTATTCTGTAGAACTTAGATAAATATATATATATATATATATACAAATATTTAATGTAAAACTTTTTTAAATATTTTTTTGGATATTCGTTAATATCGTTAAAGAAGTTTTCGGTGTTTCTCGTTAATCGATATGAAACTAAAATATTACAAATTTTTTTTATATTTTCATAATTAAAATATATTTTTGGAAAAAAAAGTTATTTTAGTTTTTTTTCATTGACTTCTTATTTTTTAGTTTTTTTTAATATAAGTATCTATATATGTATATATATGTGTGTGTGTGTATATATATATATATATATATATATATATATATATATATATATATATATATATATATATATATATATATATATATATATATATATATATATACACGCACACATATATATATATACATATATAGAACTAAATTTTTGTTAAGATAAAATAATTTTTAGAATTATCAATACAATATTTGTGTGTGTGTGCATTGTTTTTTATTACGTGACAAACTTGATTTCTCGATTATAAATTTTACACGATTTCTTTGTTTAATAAGAATATTTTAAACAAGTTTTTTTTTTTTTTTTTTTTTTTTTCAAAATTTCCAGTAGATTTATTATGTAAATATTGTGTTACTTTTCGTGTTTTTTGTAAGACACTTTTTGGTACTGTTTATATTTAAAGAATATACAAACTAAAATCCTTTATTATCTAGTTCATTTCAAAAATATACCTCGTGTTCAAATAAAATTAAAACTGGGTATTTGTATTTTAAGAATTTTTCATCAGTTTTTAGATCCCGGAACCCGGTAAGGAAACCAGCTAAAGATTTTAAAAAATTAGTTACACAAAACCATATATATGTTTGCATCAAATAAGATTTTAGGTTACACAGTGTGGCACATTAAATCTGACGGCGATATTAAAAAACTTAATCTAATTTACTGAAGAGGAAGAATCTGAATTAGATTGTAAAACTTCAAATTAATTGTAAATGTGCATTTTTCATTTTGCAAAATTCAAAAATAAATAAAAATGTTAGTTAAGCAACGTAATTTTAATTAAAAAAAAGACGTAAAATATATAAATTTAACATAAATAGAAAGGTTCGTTTTGTTAAAAGTAGAGGATATAACTTTTTACAAAATAACTAATGTATCGAAAACTAGAAAAGAAATTAGTATTGATGTTTTTAGCATACCTGAAAAATAGATATTGAATGTATATTATGATTTTTTTTTTTTTTTTTATTATTGCAGCAGAGAAAAACAGTATTCTTGTAATTATCATTAAAGATAATTAAATAACATGTTATTTATATGAACAAAAATTAAATCATTTTACAAACATAATAGCCATTTTTCAGAAAACAGCAAATACCAATTTATTTGAAATCGCATTGCGAAAGTTAAAAATTATGTTTAAATAAAAAAATTGTATTAAATTTTGCATATCTGTCTGCATATTTGAATTATCTGTTTTTATTTTTGTTCGAAAGTTAATTAAAAATTAATTTACTAACAATAAATTTAAAATTAGCTTGCTATCTAAATTTCTGTATATTATTACCTAAATTTTTTCATGTCATTTTGTTGTCTACATTACAATGTTACAATGCATTAGAATCTAATATATGTTGTTTTATTGTGCAATGCTGATGATGACCATGTCCAACGAAAATGGTTGTCATATAATTTAAAAAATAATTGTGTCTAATGCTCTGCTTGCATGGCATTTTCAATCATCATAGAAAGTCCATTTTTAACAGGTATAGAAATATAACAATAAAAATTAGGAATCAAGAATGCGGAAACTCGAAGAAGTCCTTGAGGTCTTGTCGTAGAGAACCGCTGGAATCAAAACGCTTTAAATGAATTTATTTTTATTGATTTTTTGTAAATGTTTATTCGCTTTTGAATTGGATCTGTTTCGATAAATAATTATATAAACCGTTGCAAAGAATAGTTTAAAATAATTAATATACTTCAGTATAATTATTGATGTATTTGATGACGTCATAATGTTAGTGATGTTAATATAAATCGAATAGATTAAAAAATAATAATAATTGAATTGAACATTTCTTGCATTAAAATTGTTGAAAATTAAATCAGGGTGGGGTGGACATTCTTGTTGATTATTAGCTCTTGTTCTAATATATTTTTTTTATATATTGTGTTTGCATCTTTACCATACAAGCGATCATAGGTGGTATCACCGAATCCTAATCCAGCCCAAGCAGTTTTAGTTAGGTTTTCCTACGCCAGAGCTCCAGTTCTAATATAGTTTTTTTATATATTGTGTTTGCATCTTTACCATACAAGCGATCATAGGTGGTATCACCGAATCCTAATCCAGCCCAACGATTGCTAAGCAGTTTTAGTTAGGTTCCTACGCCAGAGGTATCCGACTAAGCCTTCTATGTATTACATTATAACAAACCTTTTTATATTGTTTTTAATTTTTTATGTAAATATTATTGGTGTTAAAATAGTATAGTTGGTAGTTTGGTGCTAAACCCACAGCTGATCTTGGCATCTTCACTTAAATTCAGTCTGATTCATTAGTCCAATTTACTAGTATAGTTTATAATTATTTTAATTTTATCATGAATAAATTATGCCAGTTTTAACTTTTAATTAGGAGAAATTCAGTTCAGTAGACTTGAGTTATTTTTCTAATCAGTTTCAAGATAACCAACAGGCCTCTAATCAGTTTCAAGATAAGTTTTTACAATTATTATATAAATTGATACATAAAAGTATTTCACAACCATGTGGAATAAACAAATAATGCAAACAAGAGGTAATTGCTTTTCCAGGTGAGGAATAAAATGTGCATGAAAAGTAAATGTTGTTTTTAAAAGAAAAAATTCTGTAGACGAAATTCTTTTTGAAAATTAAAAGTACTTTAAGAAATCATAACGTAATTTATAATAAAGATAATAAATACATAATTATATAGAATATATTTATAAATAAATTTAATTTTAAAATTTAAACAAATGTATCGCTATCACAATTAACAAAAATCGAGTAAAACGTCTTGTAAATCTAAAATAACTTGTATTGTCAATCCAAATAAAAGTGAAATTCACGCTCTTTCATCTTCGTAGGCTTTATTTATTGAAGACATATATTGAAGCTTCTCTCCCAACAGTAAGTAAAACAATGATATCTTATTTCGAAGAGTACGACCATTGGAGTAATTATGGACGGTGGCATATATATATATATATATATATATATATATATATATATATATATATATATATATATATATACATATATATATATATATATATATATATATATATATATATATATATATATATATATATATATATATATATATATATATATATATATATGCTACCGTCCATAATTACTCCAATGGTCGTACTCTTCGAAATAAGATATCATTGTTTTACTTACTGTTGGGAGAGAAGCTGTAAGCAAAGTCTACCTAAATTAAGTGTTATCTTCTTTTTTATTAGGTTTATAAAAAAATTAAGTAAAGTCCGATAAGATAATTTATAATTTACTTGCCTTTTAATCACTCTTAGCGACAATAATCGCTATATATATTCTTGGCATTCTACTTAACAACTTATCAAATTCGTCAAAGTTAATTTTATGCCACTAACTAATTTGTTTTGTCCACATCTCATGCATCATTTGGCATTAGTTTTTGACATTACTTTTAATTCCACCCATAAAAATACGATAGGAGAGAGATCTTGTGATTGGGGAGCCTAAATCATTTTATTTAATATTTGATCGTTCTCGAACTCAGTCAAATAACAAAAATGTTTTTACATAGTCACCTGTGGCATTTTAACCTAAATACATCCATATTCATATATATATATATATATATATAATATATATATATATATATATATATATATATATATATATATATATATATTAAATTTTATAGTAAAACATTTTAATGTTTAAAAGATATTACCATATAAAGTTTGCAACCCCCTCAAATTGAAGGGGGTTTAAATTTTATATGGTCATAATTTATATACAAAAAAAGTTAAAATTTTGTATTCAAATGCTAGCCCACATGAGGCCCATTTAGGGTCCATATATGAAGTTAAAAAAGTGTTAAAATCCATCTTAAGTTTTAAATTTAAATGACATTCAATTGTGCGCAATCGGATGGCATTTAAATTTTAATGCCATTATATTGTGATGAGGTACTTTTTTTTTTTTTTTTTTTTTTTTTTTTTTACAACACAAGTATCCGTATATATTTCAATAAAACAAAATTACATATTTTTACATATAAGTACAAAACGTACAATTAAACAATTTTTGTACCATTAAAATTTTTACAAAATAAAAGAAATTCAAAGTTCTGTTTAGCGCATGCGCGTTGTACAGTGTACAAAATAACTATTCGTTGTTTATAATATAAAGTGCTGGCTATTAACTCATGCGTCTAAAAAATATATGCAAGTCCGTCGTACCACTTGGGATATGCTTGTGGACGTTGTTGAATATATAAATATATATATATATATATATATATATATATATATATATATATATATATATATATATATATATATATATATATATATATATATATATATATATATATATAAAAATTCTTAAGAAATATTTTTTTGTGTTGTAAGGAAACTCGCAGAAGACTAAAATAGTCTTTTCATCGGGAACCTTTAAAACATAAAATAAACTTTAATGAACTAGTTCAACAAATACACATAAGTATTTTGTTATCTACTATATAGTAGAAGTAGTAGGGCTTTTTATTATTACTATTTTTCACAAATTGTTTAATACATTTCGATGAAGTTGGTTAAGTTAATTATGATATGTTTTAGTTTTTTTTTCAGAGCAATAAGGTTATCCATTTTATTAAGTTCCATATTTTGAAGTATTATTTTGTTATGTAAGTATGGGCCACGGTATATTAAAGAAAATCGCGAGAATTTTGTTTTTTTTTAAAGGCAAGGTGAAGTTGCCTGTTCCTTGTGTGATATATTTGTTTGCGTTGATATGTAAAAAGCTATCAGTA